GTTAACCGTCGACGTTTTTTCCTGAACATGGCACGTTATTAAATCCTGGACGGATTCTTAACTATGGCGGGAGGCAGGTCTACCCGTAGGACAACCACTGTTCCAACAATGTGGTACTCAGTTCGTTTGCTCTGTATGCATGCTGAACTTCTTTCGCACCGTACGCAGTCAACCGTGCTAATGCGGAGGCTACGCGACTTTACCGAAAGAACTAAGAATACAAAAAAGCAGTTCTAAAGAAATGAGTTTTCAATCGAGTTGACTGAAAAGTATATAGCTCCAGCGGCCTCCCAATATCGGAAGGAAGAGCATTCCTCCAGACGGCCGCAGAAGCACCACTCGAAAGCGCGCGATGTGGTTTGGCCGTCTGTTCGGAGTGGCGGATTCCTGTGATGCCTCCTCCTTCTTCGTGTTTGCGAATCGGCGCACAGAGTCGTTTATACGCCCCACGGTTCCATTCCGGGCGGTGACCACGGTCGCGCCGCGCACTGCCGCAGACGGAGTTTTGAATAATTTTTGTCCGTTCGTGCATCGTCAAGTATATAATCGGCATCTGCCGCGGTTCTGCGTGGGGATGCGTTTGCGAGTTGTGGGCGCGTAAGCGTCGCGGGAGGTAGAAGCCACGGAGGGGTGGAATCCTCCTACGTTGGGTCGCGTGAAGCGTCCGACGAGACGCGACGGGATCGGAGTTGTACTCTGTGGCGATTTAATCACGGGGGCGAAAAAGTGTCGCGCACGACAGGTAGGCGACTGTTCGTTTTTATTCGCGGCTCTTGAATAACAACCGCCGGTTATTACGCGCGGTTCAATCCGGCGTTTTGTACGCTTAACGGCGAAGGCGAGGTTGCCCATTAGCCCCTCCGTTATGAGGGGAAAATTTAAAAAAAAACCCAAACCACACCTAGAAACGGCGCTACTTCTTTGCTAAAACCATGACGTGCCACACGAATCCTGCGCGACTGCTCATCGCAGCGAGAAAAGGGGGGAGGGTGGGGCGATGGAAAATCTGAAGCGGCAGCATTAAACTTCATTTTTGTTCTGACAAGCTTCCTTGTACAGCGCGCGCACACACACAGTGTTACACAGACCGCCTACATCTGAGTCCTGATGGGTCTCAGTATGCGAGTGGCCAAGTTGAAGAAATAGTAAAAATTTACAACTTGTAACGGGAGCAGTTTTCGTTCACTATCAGACAGAGAGAGATTAATTCAGAGGTTCAGCAAACCACAGACAAGTGTAAGGGTGGCCATAACCGGCACTAACAATTACCCGAGTTCTGTGGTCCTACATTGGGATGCTTGGCCAAATGCAAAGTGGGGTGAAAATTCAAATTTTTATGGCAGTTTCTGTAAAAAAAAAGAAAAGTAAAATTTTATTGAGATGACAACGGATTAAACTGCACAAGTTGTACGAGACTTTATCAATCCACTGCTGGACGAAGGGCTCCCCATGCTGGGCAGGTCGTGGGGGGTTGTTTGGCTATACTTCACCATGTTGGTCGGTGCAAGTTAGCGAAGGCCGGAAGCCTAAATGTGGGAACGCAGAAGCAGAGTGTTACAATGGATTTTGCGGGAACTGCCCTCTCTCTCTGGCAGTCCACCACGCAGGCTCCCAGGTTCAGGAGACGATGATCTATAACGCCTGTCATGTGAGGAGGTGGCCAAGGCTCGACCCCGCGTATCTCGCGAGATCCAACGATGAGATCGGGCGCATTCCGGATGATTCGGTCAGAGGCTTGCCATTTAACTGTTACATTTTAAAACGTAAAAGCGTTTCCCCCACTCAAATGGGTGCGGGTGGTGCGTTGCTAAAGTTTGCAGCCCAGGGTTGACGGTGGAAAATTCCACGTTCCTTTTCGGAAAAGAGAGTTTTGTCCTTGGGACGACCACAATGAATGAAGGGTGAGTAACTCCCCAACCAGGGTTTGAACTCGCAACCTTCCCAATTGCACCTCGGTGTGCTCCAACCACTGGCCAGATAACCAATTAAAACCACCAAAGAAAGAAAATAAAACTTCACCTCGAAAGGTAAATGTCTCGAAGTGGTGTGGGGTTTCTTTTTTAACCTGCTGCAATAACTGTGGGGGCGTTTGAGACATTTTTCTCTGCTCAAAAACACTGTGTTGGTGACACTGATAACAACAAGCCTGCAATAACCGCGGATAGGCCAAGCTTAAAACGATCGGTACTTTCCCTTTCAATCGAGCTTCAGAACTGAACAGGAAAGCTATATTTTACTGCCTCTTCTAAAAGTTTGCTGCGCTAAAAATTCCTGCTGTCATTGGCCACGTTCTGAGCGCGGTTAACGTAGCTCGATGCCTTGAAGAAAGTGTCCCTATATTGTCTCCGCTAAGGAAGGAGGAGTGTAATAAATAAAAATGTAATGCTTTAAAATGATATCCGAGACTTAAGGCTCTTTTGAAAAGTCAATCAGCGCACCATGACAAATGCAAGGGCTCAAGTTAAATTAGTATGGTACTCGACAGCTGAAAGAGGTTGGGAAAAATCGTAACCGCCATCTGCCGAAAATAGCAATCCACTTTAATTACACTGCAATGCGTTGGATGCGGAATACTGTAAAATCCTGCAAAGAGTCAATTTCAATTTCGTTTGACCAAATTTGTCATTTCTAGCCCGTAACAAAAATATATTTATTGTTTTAAAACATCCAGTGGAACGTTCATGAAGTGCAACTGTGGCTATAGCACAAGTGCAAAACAACCGTTGGCATTGTTGCCAGACAAAGCAAAACATTGTACAGGCGCTAATTACTCAACGAGTATAAAAGGTACACCGTCACGCTCGGTAATTGCATCCACGCGGGCGCTGGAGTTGACAAATTTTATGGCCGCGTGATGCTTTCCCAAAGCGGCACGGCCTCGCGAAACAAAAGGAGGAGCGCGCGGGCCCGAGGGATGGAAGGGCGGGGTGCGGCGAGTGTTAGCCTTCACTCAGTGGCGGCCACTCAAGTCAATGATAAGGCAGTTAAAATCCACTATTTGCCCACTTCCTGATTCATTGTAACAAACACGAGGCTGGAGAAAAAGTCTGGCAGTGGAGGACAAGCAGCACAATAAAGCTGTGACAGGTGCAGGAGGGATGAGGCGAGCAGAGCAAACAGACCGACACAAAGCCGAGCCTTCTCTTTCTCCCTGCCGCCCCCCCCCCCCCCTCTCAGCAGCGTCGTCCCCTCGCCCGCCCCCTGCCAAAAGCGCTCACCACCTCTCTCCCAGCCCATTCCAAAAACACCTACGACCTTCCTACCAAGGGTCACGGAGATAATCAATCCAACGACTCTCGTCAGATTTAAATAGCGGGGAGCGGCGGCGGCGGCGTGCTCGCGACAGGAGCTCCATTGTTGCACGGGAACAGCATGGGATTCACGCAAATGTTTTTCCGACCGTCCCCGCCAAATGTGATTTAGTCTTTTTCTGATGCTAAATCAAAGGGAAACAAGACTCAAGCGAGCCAGGAAAAATGTCAAATCGTGCATACACGGATCGTGTAATGCTTCCCAACACACGTTTGTCTTTGTAAGCGTTTAATCACGCAGAGCGTTTGTACATTTGAAAATGGTTATTTTATATTTTTTGGTCTGTAAGTGTTGTGTAACGCTTAGATCAATTCAACCGGCTTTCTCCAGGATTAAGTCCCAAATAGTAGCAGAACTTTGAACTAAAGTTTTGTCCATATTGGATTGCGTTTATAAGAGTTATAGTTCCCCCACCCCCATAAGCGGATGGACAGAGCTTACGCATAAACATTTTTGGCCTGAGTTGTGCAGCATAAAAATGTACTGATGGCTGTTATTTAATTTTCTTAACAAATATAAATTAATTGGAGCGTGGCAGTCCCTTAAACGCTCTGCTGCAAACACCAAACTACCGATTTACATCTGAAACCCGATTTAATCACCTGTGCGATTGAACCCATCCCACCCCCAATGCGCCATGCGACCATTGACTCAACAAAACCAGCTCGCAGTGCAAAACTTGGTGCAACATCGTTGTGATGCTGGCACCCACAATGCAACACGTGCGTGTTGCGATGTAAATACATTAAGAGGTACGATAGTCACGCGGTAACGATGTCATCTAACGAAGTCACACTACGGTGATGTCACGAGGGCACGGTACAGCCTTGCTCCAGGCCGTGAAATTAATTTAATTTGTTTTATTCTCATTAACGATGATCCAGACTTGTACCGTACTACACGTGAAACACAGGTACGCTCGTACTGCAACATAAAATGTATTTATGCGTCGTTCGTTAATCGAAAAAGAGGCAACTTAGAGACGAACCATAACAAATAAAAAGTAAAATGGTACCCATATCAGATGGCTGGGACGTGTTATAAGAAGGAAGGAAAACCGCATTGAAGGAAAGGCAAACACCAAGGCAGGAACTGAGAAGTAGGCCTAGAAAGAGGTGGTCCTAAGTGAAACGATCAGAACGTGGACATGGGGAGATGACAGCCAAGGAAAGGAAATGGATGGGGAAAAAAAAGAGGACATGAGTGAGATACATGCCAGGGAGTAGAAGAAGAAGCAAAACTGTGAGCTTATTCTTCGCCAGGTGGTGATGGCTATGCACCGCCTGCAATCAAGCGCTATGCTGGCTTGAAATGACTATTTTTTTACGAAATTAAACTTTTTATTTTACCAGGTAAGGCTCACCGAGCTGTAATAGCTCATTTTGATAAGCGACCTGGCCACAAATGATAGCTCAACAAAGTGGCTTATCACGTGGACATTTACAGCAGCCAAATACTCTAAAAGCATGTTTCTAAATGCAGGGGGAAAAACCTGAGGACCCGGAGAAAAATCCACACGACCACAGGCAGAACATGTAAACTTCGAAAATACAGACGTCGGGGTGGGGATAAAACCTATGACCTCCTGCATACCAAGGGAGGTAATTAACATTTCACCACCATCATCATTAGTCACATATCATGAGTAATAGGAAGCAATAAGAATTTTGCTCATGAAGGTAACTCACCTGCGCTCATTATCATCCAGGTGAGAGAACAGCACATTCCTTTGGATGGCTTTGGAGAGTGCAGCCATGGTCTTGTAGTCTTTCGGTATCACCTGTGTGCAACGGAGAACAATGAACACGCACACACACGCGCACTCTTACCGAACACATGGCAATTCACACGCATAATATTGACTATGGCCTGGGACATGGCAAGCTCTTAACTAAATCGACACACGACACCACAAAGTACAGTAACACCTTGGATTGCGAGTAACTTGGTCTGCGAGTGTTTTGCAAGACGAGCAAAAATATAAATATAAATAATAATTATTTAATAAATATTCATTTGATAAACGAGCGAGGTCTTGCAATACGAGTAGTACGTATACGTTTGTCTGCCGAGCGTCACGTGATCACAACCGATATACGAGTGCTTTGATATACGAGTGCTTTGGATTACAAACACGTTTCCGGAACGAATTATGCTCCTCGCAATCCAAGGTTTTACTGTATTTGTATCTTTGAACAAAACAGTGCTCAGCGGTTCAACACCTAGTAGGCTTTCGCGATCAATATTATCCATCAGAGGTTCTTTTTGGTGAGAAAGCATAAATATAAATGTGTCATTAAACCCACCGCCACCCAACATGGCCAATTAGTAAGGTTTGTCACGCAAACAAAATGTGTCAATTGGTTCCCCTTTGAACACACCGGTGTGCTGGAGAATAAAACGATAACATTTACAATTTGAGTACGACGCTTAGCCAACGATTACAGCCAGCCTCATCAGGCGAGAGCCACAATTGTGGAGAAATTCCCCTATGTCGGTCGTAAAAACAGTGCTGCAGAATCTGGCACATTTCAATGGTTCAACCTGAAAACGGGAACCCCCTTCAGAGCACAAATATGTTGCGCGAGATAACTGTGTCGACACGTTTACGCACCTCCAGAGGTGGTGGCGCACACCTGTAATCCTGCGCACTTTGGAAGCGACGACTGATGGATCGTACAGATTTGCGCAAAACTAAAAAAAAAATGCAATGGACCGTGCCGCACAGATGGCAGTAAATGAAATGGATTGTTGAATCCCTTTGTGCAGATTGTTAAATTACATTCCCCTGACACGTGTTCATTTTCTCCGAGTACGCTAGTCTCCTCAAACACGAAAACACTAAATAAAGAAGGAATTGGCCAATCATCCTAGGTTAGGACCTCTTGAAATTTGCAATAATATTAACAGAGATTCTATGTAGCAGCATCCTTAACGTGACTGCATCACACAACCGTGTACAATCCGCAAAACACGGATGCGCAAATATGTTAGGATGTGTTCGGCCAATTGATTGTTCATACATGTGGGAGAAAACCCACACGTACGAGGTGGCAACGCCTTATCCCATATAGCAAGGACAAATTATATTTGTCACACATTTGCCTGACCGGATCCTCCTGGCGAGCCCAGGTATGGGACCTCGATGCCACCTGCTGGTGATCGGTGTCACAATTCAACTTGGTGAACATTTCAGAGCCGAAGGAATGTTGCAACTCGCCGTTTCCGACTCGATGAAATGTCGTGATTCAGTGTCATGACTAGAATCAGTAAACCATTCATCAGCCCACGTTCAATTGTTCACGCACATAAGGGGTCATTTCCCTGGATTCAAGCGTGAAAACAGGAACTTCGTTCAGACCATCTCATCTTCTGTTATCGACAGCAAGTAAGTTGTTGGTCACACTTTTGCATGTGTGTGTAAGCACGGACATATGCATGGGAAAATAACTTCCCCGGGGTCCAACTCACCAGGAAGCAACCAAGCCAACCTTCCCCCCCGACAGCTTACCAATAATAAAAAAAAACACAAAGAACAAGGAAAGACGTAAAAGTTCACTGCGTATTTGCGCTTCCGTTATGTGAAAGGCATCCAGTAGAGGGTAACGCTATCTTTACGCTCATTTGCCCACGTTGTACGTCGCCGGGAGGCAAACGAGGCAAGCTTCTCAATCAAAGCGGCAAACCTAATCTGTCCTCGACTGCGTTTCTCGAGCATCTAATACGGGGGGGGCGACGTTGCGTTGTTAAGCAAAACGCTCTTTCAACGGCATCGCTAACGCACATCGATGACAAATGCTGGCCACTCGAAGTAATTTTCGTTGGCGGGCATGCGTGCAGACGCACGGCACGCGGTGCTGCGTTGACATCTACCGGGCAGCTACATCAATTACATGAGATAAGGATACGTACGGGGGCCGTGCTACCCCGTGGAGGATAGCAGGCAGCAAAATCCATTGCGCTGCCGTTCTATCAACATCATCACAATCCATGGGAAAGATAGCAGACAACAGGTGTCCCACTGCACGTTCTGTCGTTTGTGTCCACTTTCCTCTGTCTCATGCCAATGTGCTCAAGTAAGTGGCCACATCTTTCTCTGGCAACCGCTCTCTCTCTTGTCGTTGTAAAGCCATTCCCCGTTCGGTCTTCCTCTCTTTCCTGTTACGAACAACGCACTTTTTCCCCGAACGCACTTTGAATTTTCCTGTTGCTGTACATCCTCCACGTGTGTGTCCAAATAGCCCCAGTTTCCTTCTCATCACTGCCTGCCCTTTTGCCCACGCGAATAATGGCGCGTCCCCAATGATGATGGCGACGGTGCTCTCGAGACCGTGCGATCGTGTACAATAAGTACCGTCATTATTATTATTACGATCGTCATTATGTACACGCGCATTTGTCATGATCGTCATTATGTACACGCGCATTTGTCATGATCGTCATTATGTACGCGCGCATTTAGTATGATCGTCATTATGTACACGCGCATTTACCATGATCGTATTTGGCTGCTACAACTTTCCACGTGACAATAAGCCACTGTCGTTGAGCTATAATTTGTGGACAGCCAGGGTCGCTTTTGAAAAAGAGCTACGCGGCTCAGTTGGGCCTTACCCGGTGAAATAAAAAGTTTCGTAGTTCAGTTTCGAATAGTTCACGGAGTGACGCTCTCCGCCCGCGTGAGCGAGCAGGCACTCACCTTGCGCACGTAGGACGCGGCGTCCTCCTCCGTGTACACCTCGGCGCTGAACGCCATGCGGCGGCTGCGCCCCTTCACCACGGGGTTCGGCGGCGGAGGAGAGATTTCCTCCTCCCACGAGTCGGACAGCGAGTTGGACATGCGCCGCGACAGAAACTGCTTCGCCTCCTCCTGGCGGGCGCGGCACGAGCGAGATGTTAACAACCTCGCCTGATATGCAGGAGCTTATTCCGAAAGATTACAACAAGGCCATGGCTGCACTCTCCAAAGCCATTCGAAGAAACGTGCTGTTCTCTCACCTAGATGATAATGAGCGGAGGTGAGTTACCTTCGCAAGCAATATTCTTGTCGCATGCAATTACTCATTGCATGCGACTAATGATGATGGTGGCGAGATGTTAACTAGCTCGCCTTGTACTCAGGAGGTCGTGGGTTTGATCCCAAATATGATGCATGTTGCATGTTTCTCTCCCCGTGGTCACGTGGATTTTTCTCCGGTTTTTCCCTCCACAATTAGAATCAACATACGTTTAGAGCATTTGGCTGCTATGAATTTCCACACGATGAGCCGCTTTGTTCAGCCATCATTCGTGATAGCGAGGCCGCTTCTGAAAAAGAGCTGCATATAAAAATGTGAACAACAAATAATGTTTTTTTTGAAATGTAAATTATATTATTCTCCTACAGTTAATACACCTGCAGAGTAATAACCAGGCCGACCTGCCAGATTCGAACTGCGAACAAGACGGCAAACGCTCACCCCGGCGGGCCGTCGTCACGGCCCCACAGCTACACAGCACAGCGACAGAAGAGGGGGAGAAAGACAAAAAAAAACAACCAACCCCTACAAAGCAGTAAAAAAGCAGACGGAGACTCGCAAAAAAGAAACCTCACCTTTTCGAGGCGCTCAAAGTGCTCCCGCAGGAACTGCATCGGTCGCTCGGGGCGCGCAATGCACAGCTGCACGATGCACTGCTTGAGCACGGCCTGGATGCCGTGCCGCTGCACGTACTCCTCGCACTCGCGCAGGCTGCGCTCCTCCTGCTCCATGTTGCCGCTCGACGCCATGGTCGGATAGCCCCGGCGTCTGTCCGCGAGCGGGCGACACGACCACGGTGGCGAGATGTTAACTAGCTCGCCCGATATACAGGCGGTCGTGGGCTCGATCCCGACCGTGATATCTGCTGCGGTCGCGTTGATTTTCCTCCGGGTCCTCTGGTTTTTCCCGTCCACATTCAGAATCAACATGCATTTAGAGCATTTGGCTGCTATACATTTCCACGTGATAAGCCACTTCGTTGAGCTATCATTTGTGAGAGCCAGGTTGCTTCTCATAAAAGAGCAATATAGCTCAGTGTTACTTGCCTAAGAATTTTTTTTTAAATATCTTCGTTTTAGTTTAGTAATTCGGGGTCACAAGGCATGCTGGTCTGGATGCTGGGCGAGCAATGACGATTGAGATTTCAAGTTCAATTCGTTCAGCTACAAACTCACACGAGGACCAGGATAGTCTAATCTTTAAGTGACCCGGGATCACCAAACATTGCTAAAAGTCAAAGAAATAAAATAAAGTAGAACAATGAAGCAAATCGAAAAATCTGAGCAAAACAGCTGTCTCAAATGAGAGCTCAAAACACTACAAAAGTGCGGTGGTTGAACAGCGTGGGTGAGACGAAACTGTCCGTCTGATAGACCGATCCTCTCAACATGGGTAAAGGAATCATCATGGGAACAGCAACCATGGTAGTCGCAGCAGTAGTAGTAGTTAAAGAAGAGTGATAAGGAGGCGATTGACCGCAGGTGCTCAAGGTGACAAGAGACAGGCGAATTCAACCGGGGACAAAATGGATAACGGGAGGGGGGTCACTGGGTTCACCACTGGGCAAGTGATGATGATGATGACGATTCACAATTCAACGAACTGGGAGAATTTGGGGGGTAACGATTAGATTGAGTTTAATGAACCGGCCCCCTTTGTCATTCCACTCCTCAGGGGAAGGACAACCCCCCTCCCCCCCCCACACACAGTGCCGGTTGCATTGGTTGCTTGACCGTACTTCGCTATGCTGCTTAGCGCGGATGGTTGGTCAAACGAGGGGTGGGAGTGGGCACAAACACCAGGGCCAGTTCAGACAACTGTCCGTCTGTTTTGTATTTTACACGGAACGGGTTCATCTTGTCTGCCTCCAATGCACTGTGTGTCGCTCACGTCATTCGCCTAAATCAACGCTGCACAAATTAGAAACTCGAGGCATCACTTTAACTCGTTATTATTAAAAGCAGCTCGTTGTGACTTTGAAACTGAACGCGTAGCTTTATTGTTTCGTATGACCGCGCGAAATAATTAAGTATACCATCTTGGTCATATATTGGGGCTCTGTAGGTGACATAATTCGGGGGAGGGGGGTGGTGGGACGTGCATCATTATTGCATCGTATATCTCTCCCTTGATACAGGGACTCCTCTACTTAAAGAAAAATTCGACTTACGAACTGTCAGAGACACAAACAAACCTGGTCCGTATGTCTAGTTGCCTGTTCAGACCGAGAGTCGTAAGTTCAATCGCCACGCAATAGATGGCGGTGGTGGCATCTACATCTGCAGGAGATTATATAACTTTTAAAGCCATTCCTAGTGTTTAGTGTACATGCCGTACAACATGTTTGGAATCAACAGGTTTGTTCGTGTCTCTGAAAGTTCGTAAGTCGAATTTTCGTAAGTAGAGGCGTTCCTGCACTGGATTCACACAAGCAAAATCCTTAATTGGTTACCTCATTCAATGTCTCATCATCTCTCATGTAGGCCTCTTATGAAAACATATATTCCCTGTCTCTTACAGTGAGGGAAAAAGTATTTGATCCCCTGCTGATTTTGTACGTTTGCCCACTGACAAAGAAATGATCAGTCTATAATTTTAATGGTAGGTTTATTTGAACAGTGAGAGAGAATAACAACAAAAAAATCCAGAAAAACGCACGTCAAAAATGTTATAAATTGATTTGCATTTTAATGAGGGAAATAAGTATTTGACCCCTCTGAAAAACATGACTTAGTACTTGGTGGCAAAACCCTTGTTGGCAACCACAGAGGTCAGACGTTTCTTGTAGTTGGCCACCAGGTTTGCACACATCTCAGGAGGGATTTTGTCCCACTCTTCTTTGCAGATCGTCTCCAAGTCATTAAGGTTTTGAGGCTGACATTTGGCAACTCGAACCTTCAGCTCCCTCCACAGATTTTCTATGGGATTAAGGTCTGGAGACTGGCTAGGCCACTCCAGGCCGTGTGTTTTGGGTCATTGTCATGCTGGAATACGCATCCACGACCCATTTTCAATGCCCTGGCTGAGGGAAGGAGGTTCTCACCCAAGATTTGAAAGTATATGGCCCCGTCCATCGTCCCTTTTTGATGCGGTGAAGTTGTCCTGTCCCCTTAGCAGAAAAACACCCCCAAAGCATAATGTTTCCACCTCCATGTTTGACGGTGGGGATGGTGTTCTTGGGGTCATAGGCAGCATTCCTCCTCCTCCAAACACGGCGAGTTGAGTTGATGCCAAAGAGCTCCATTTTGGTCTCATCTGACCACAACACTTTCACCCAGTTGTCCTCCGAATCATTCAGATGTTCATTGGCAAACTTCAGACGGGCATGTATATGTGCTTTCTTGAGCAGGGTGACCTTGCGGGCGCTGCAGGATTTCAGTCCTTCACGGCGTAGTGTGTTACCAATTGTTTTCTTGGTGACTATGGTCCCAGCTGCCTTGAGATCATTGACAAGATCCTCCCCTGTAGTTCTGGGCTGATTCCTCATCGTTCTCATGATCATTGCAACTCCACGCGGTGAGATCTTGCATGGAGCCCCAGGCTGAGGGAGATTGACGGTCATTTTGTGTTTCTTCCATTTACGAATAATCGCCCCAACTGTTGTCACCTTCTCACCAAGCTGTTTGGCAATGGTCTTGTAGCCCATTCCAGCTTTGTGTAGATCTACAATCTTGTCCCTGACATCATTGGAGAGCTCTTTGGTCTTGGCCATGGTGGAGAGTTTGGAATCTGATTGATTGCTTCTGTGGACAGGTGTCTTTTATACAGGTAACAAGCTGAGATTAGGAGCACTCCCTTTAAGAGTGTGCTCCTAATCTCAGCTCGTTACCTGTATAAAAGACACCTGCGAGCCAGAAATCTTTCTGATTGAGAGGGGGTCAAATACTTATTTCCCTCATTAAAATGCAAATCAATTTATTACATTTTTGACATGCGTTTTTCTGGATTTTTTGTTGTTGTTATTCTGTCTCTCACTGTTCAAATAAACCTACCATTAAAATTATAGAATGCTCATTTCTTTGTCAGTGGGCAAACGTACAAAATCAGCAGGGGATCAAATACTTTTTTTCCCTCACTGTATATTTTTCTCTTGAAAATATCTTTAGCCTATATCCATCACGTTTATTTCCGATTGAATATTTATCCCATCTCTCACTTGCACATCTTTTTGCGATATATGTTCTTCTATCATTGAGTGCATTATTTTTTATCATTTTAATTTTATTGATATATCTTCTCTCTCATACATATCGCTCTTCTAAATGCATCTCTTTTACCTCACCTTAATCTCAATACATTTCTCTTCAAAACAAATCTCTCACATATATATCTCGATCTTCATAAAATATCTCTCCAATATCTCTCTCTCTCAAAGAGCTCTTCAAAATACTGTTTATATTCCTCATAAGCTTAAGCAGCCGAGTGTGGCCTTTATTTTTTAAGTTACCTGGGGGTTTTAAATCAACGTAACAAAACACACGTCAGTTGTGCCAACATTAGGAGCCATCAACAAAGTACAGTCTTGCCGTATTACTGCCACAAGTGACGTTAAATCAATTACGTGAATAATTGCCACCCTTATGAAACGCCGTTTGCAACTACATCACATCAAGGCACTTTAGCATCTTGAGAGAAAATAAAAATATCATGCAAAAAAGCAATCCCATTAAAAACTTGGAACCGTAAACACGTGGGGTGGGGGATGGAACGCGTCATTTATAAAAGGAACAAATACACTTACAGAGAACTGCCCTCTTCACACAACGTCTGTAAAAAAAGAGACGTTTGTGCAACGGCATAAGCTTGCAAAGTATTTAATATCAGCGCCCTGAAATAACACGGCTTTTAACGGTGAGCAAATATACAGTGCTGTATGTACTAATATGGTTTAAGGGCAACGCAACCACCACAGTTTAAAAAAAATGTAACGTGGAGTCATATTCTTGGTTCTTTCGGTAAAGTCACGTAGAAGGGAAATAATAAAAAAGTAAAATTCTCACGACGTTTAGATTGCAACACCAGCAATCATCATCAGGTGTGAAAACCACAGCAAGAAAATGTTTTGAAAAAAGTGGCACCACTTTTTTTTTCAATCAAAACTATCGTGATAATTTTATTGTTTTATTTTTATTATTTCCCTTCCATGTCACTTTACCGAAAGACCCAACAATATTAATTCCTGCAGTCAAGAAAGCTTTAAAAAGAAATGTAACGTGGAGTGATTGACTTTCTTAGGTCAAACCAATGAAACGTGGAATTACACTGCATGAAGACACCGTCACCAAAAACATCTCAAGAATGCGTCCCTTTAAAAGCAATGCAACTCACGGAGGAGCACAAAAAACCCAGTTTGACAAGTCAGGCCAACCAAAGGTGCTTGGCAGGCGTCAACCTCAAGGCAAATAGGTGCGCATCTCCGCCGCTAAAATTACTCCAGTCCAGTCAAATTTGCCATCCGCTGCTGAATGAGGGGGGGGGGCCCTCTCTCCACGCCTGTGCAGGAGGCGAGGGTTATTTTAAACACGCAACTCAGTGCGGGTAGGTAAAGCGCGGCATAGACATGACAGCATAGATGTGCAGGATAATACGTACTTGAATTTACAACACTGCCCTCAGCTGTCCACCACGTAGCACCGCAGGGACCATGGCGAGCTATCCGTGTCTGGTAATCACCCATGCAAACCTCACATGTAAATCCAGATTGATAAGTAATTTCTTCGCAACTGATGTTTGTGCTTAGGCACCTCCTATGCTCACGGTTGGCTACGTACGGTGTGAAAGAAGTCGAACATACGTTCGTACAACTCGGCTTATGTTGGGCGCATTCTGGGCAAATTGGTCGCATTCTGGGGAAATTGGCCATGCTCCATTGAAATGAATTAAATATTGGATGTTGTAGTCATTAACAGCCCTGAGCTAACGTTGCACAGTCCATATTCTTATGGTGAGGCCAGTCTATTTATATAGAGCGACCACTACTGGTACAGTATTGACATAAATAGTTTTGTGCACCTATGAAAACAAACGGTATGCTAAGAGGACACTTCAGGGCAATCGAACACGATTTCCTAAACGTACTGTTTATAAACGGAGAATATATTAATCTGCAATACTTCCTTGAATGCAGATTGCGTACACAATATTGTAAATGCTCACCGGAAAGTATGCTTGAACTATTAATGCCTTGTTTATTAAAGAAAATCCACTGTAAAAAAAACTGCAGTTTTCAGGAAACCAGATTGAAATCTTAAGGAAAAAGCCAATATTCGAAGCAAAACTAACGTGTGTATGTATATACGTCATACCGTACATAAGTACAATATTGTACATTTTAAACACATATGCATGTAATACTATATATTTATATTATTGATACTAGTTCATGAAGCCTGTCTTCGCCAGGTGAAAGCTTTCAATAAATATAATAATTCACCTATGATTTTTGTACAAGTTTTATCCACAATCAGACACTAACAACTAGTCTAAGAAATATATATATATTTTTTCCACAAAATAAACGAATATTGTTGACTTGATTCAACTTCTTACGTTTAAAGACATATGCATCGGTAACCGCTCAATTTAAAGATTCCATTCTTTTTTTAGAAGAAAGAACAAAAATTAATGAATTTATAAATCTACGAGGGGAAGCTCTCCTATCTTTTACCGCTTTCGAATTATTCCGATTTGAACATCATAAAATGCGTATTTTTTTCTTTCAAAACCTCTTGAATCGGAAATATCTAAAAAAAAACACAATAAAAGATAGTCCAATGATTCTCGCTTTAATTTTATGTGCTGTCTAACGCTCTATCAAACGAAAAAAAACACAATCTTATATTTTGAACGCTTTCTGAATGACACGCACACACATGTTTACGGGGCACTTAAAATCGAGATTTGGGGGCCTTAAAATGAAAAATCTCGGATTTTCAGCTTTTTACTGTTGTTTGCGTCCTAAAAGCTACCTATGTAGAAAATTTCAGCTTTCTACCTTGAGGTTTTTGAGACATACATACTGATTAAGTCATTTATTCATATATAAGATAGATACTCTCTATTCCTTAACACAGATTAATTATTGTTACATTATTATCCATATATAAAGCATTCCTTTAAATTGACTTTGAACATATGTTTCGATGTGGTTATTTTGCTCTCAAAACAATAGGTTTCGATGTGGTTATTTTGCTCTCAAAGCAATAGGTTTCGATGTGGTTATTTTGCTCTCAAAACAATTTGACCACACCTAACGCACAGTATTCAGCATATACTCTGACAAGGGTAGAAGAGAGTTTAGTGCTTTTGCCTTTGGGTCTCCGGGTTCTCTGGCCTAAATTGAAGCCCAGCCCTGTCGTAATGCACTGTGGGAATGCCGTCAAATAAACTCTGCTGAACCAGATTGACGTGTGAAAAGACACTGCAGCATATAGAAATGTGACGATGACAACAGTGATTTGCATGAGTGGACAGCATTCACAGACGTTCTTCATGAAGAATATATCAATGATAATGCGCTTATTAGTCCCATATGGATTATATTTTCCCTGTCATGTGAAATTTCAACAACTACACTCAGGGCTTTAATGAGGAAACAAACACACTCGCTTGAAACGGAAACCACTCATGAATGTTTCGCTTGCGCACTGGCTCTAAGACAAAATCTGTACGACTACCAAAATTGCATTAACTATTGTTATGGCCTCGTAACCACACAATGACTTAAGCTACAAAGCAGTTCACACTTAATACGCAAGTTAAAATTATTTCGCACTGTACGTAGTCAAACGTGATCATCAGACGTGCGGGGGGGGGGGGGGAAGGACAACAAACTAAACACAAACGCAGTTTTAAAGAAAATAGTTTTCAATCTACATTTAAAAGTGGCTTCCTAATATCGGAGGAGCGTTCCGGACAGCCGCAGAAACGCGTCTGATAGCGCGCGATGCAGTGACCATCACACGCATTCAAATACACCACACACTTTAAACACATGCTGTACTTTTAACAGATGAACGCACATTAACACTTTCACTTCCGTGTTAAAACATACATTTACGTACATTGGTATTTAGCGAAGGTTACTGCAGGGAAGTACTTGGCAAAAGCATGGTAAATAAGTAATGTTTAAAAATACCTTTTTTTTTTAAACACGCTTTAATGAAATGTACCGTACTAGTAGTAATGGCAGAACTCCACGACACCAGTTGCCACAACGTAAGGGGACCGTGGTGATTTACAGCCAACGTCAGTTGAGCGTGGACAATTAGACCCAAGCCGAAACATAAAATATAAAAAAGATCGTTTAAAAATATATTTTTTTGATGATAGAATATAGTATTGTCATCAGTATGACATAAGTATACCAAGTTTGCAGTCAATAGCACATTGGGAAGTGGGTAAAAATTGAGTTACAAGATTTGAGGATACAACAGAGTGAGTTAAATAAAAGCGTGTGAAAAAATTATGATAGGTCAGAGGAGTATATAGATCGCTATTGGAGCGATGTCAAAAACCGTTAGTGCATAATATTCTTTCATGTGGCACATTAACATTGATCATTATGCATGAGTAATAATATTGGGGAAAGTCTCACAATGTATTACTCAGAGCGGGGCCATGGCTGGACTTAAGAGAGAGCAGGGAGGTTTTCAGCTGCCGAAATCTGAACTATTCCATTACATTAACCTTAATTTACAAGGTCTAAAACGTACCAATGTTAGACATTGATTTGGAAAACAATGTTACGTAGCATGTAATATTTCCATGTACTGTGCATTACATAAAGCATCCTATGGCCGGTGCACATATAAGGATGCAAAGGCAATTAAACTATGCAAAGTCGTGTAGACTTGTATGCAACATGATCATAGATTTTTTCCCCCCTCTTTTCTGGCAACAAACCAGGTGTTAAGATGTTAAGACACGAAACTGAAACTTTTTAAGAGGATTCATGTCTGCATTAACCACAATACCTGCAGCCAAAATGCAAATAAAAAACAGTATATTTCGATTTAAAGCTTTCGTGACTGCAAGGATTCATCTTCTTTGGTTCTTTCGGTAAAGTCATTCTCATTCTACGTGACTTTACCGAAAGAACCAAAGAAGAAAAAACAGTATAATATATGCATTGTCCTTTGTTTGCATTTTGACTGCAGGTATTGTGGTTAATGTAGACATGAATCCTTGTAAAAAAGGTTTAAGTTTTGTTGCCAGAAAAAAAAGGGGTAAAAACCTTATTACTATATTTTGGTACTGGCAAAGGAGGTCTAATGATAACAAATCCTTTCCACATTTTTCTAAAAGATGTTACATACAACATCATGGGAATCTCCTTTGCCAGTACCAAAATATGATAATAGGTTTTCCCCTTTCTTCTGGCAACAAAACAGCTGTGTTAAGATGTTAAAATACCAAACTGAAACCTTTTTACAAGGAATCATGTCTGCATTAACCACAATGCTTGTGGCCAGAATGCAAACAAAAAAGATACTCTGATAATGTATGCATTGTCCTTCAAACTGATTGGTCCACACCAGAGACAGCTTTCTTTTGAGCCTCGTCTCAAACGGTGTTAGACCAGAGGACGCCAAACAGAAAAAAGGGGGAAAACCTATTATCATATTTTGGTACTGGCATAGGAGGTCCCATGATGTAGATGCTCACCCCGAGCTCTCATTACTCTGATAGTGGCATTGTCTTTGGGCTGTGTATGCCTTTTGGCGTCCTCTGGTCTAACACCGTTTGAGACGAGGCTCAAAAGAAAGCTGTCTATGGTGTGGACCAATCAGTTTGAAAGACAATGCATATATTATCAGAGTATCTTTTTTGTTTGCATTCCGACCACAAGCATTGTGGTTAATGCAGACAAGAATCCTTGTAAAAAGGTTTCAGTTTGGTGTTTTAACATCTTAACACAGCTGTTTTGTTGCCAGAAGAAAGGAGAAAAAACCTATTATCATACTTTGGTACTGGCAAAGGAGGTTCCATGATGTTGTATTAACATCTTTTAGAAAATTTTGGAAAGGATTTGTTATCATTAGACCTTCTTTGCCAGCACCAAATATAATTGGGTTTTTCCCCTTTTTTTCTGGCAACTGAAACCTTTTTACAAGGATTCATGTCTACATTAACCACAATAAATGCAGTCAAAATGCAAAGGACAATGCATATTATATTCTCATACTATGTTTTATTGTTTGCATTTTGACTGCAGGTATTGTGGTTAATGCAGACATGAATCCTTGTAAAAAGGTTTCAGTTTTGTTGCCATAAAAAAGGGGAAAACCCCTATTATTAGGATTTCTTACGTTGAAAACGTGGAGAATCCAATCCAGTTCTCTCGTTGGTACCTCAGGTTTTCCCACATGCAAAATACTCATCACAGAAGGAATGTGTTAAACACACTGCTATCCTGAAACCCTCCTGATAAATGCTTTCCTGGAAAGGGGCATGATTTATATACTTACATTACTTAACCAGTTAGGCACCCACAAAATGCATATATTTCATGAAACCTGGAATAGTGTAATATTGCAAACATGATACAAATCTTAAAAGCATTGATGTACAATGACCAAAATATAAAAAAAAAAGTTACAAAGAGTAATAAAACAAATATTTTCCCCATACTATAACAAACGTTTGGTCAAGGAACATATTGATTGGCACCCATAAATATGTGGTGGGCAATTCCACATTCCTACAGCTGGAGGAACATTCGAAAAATCCATAATGATCAACCTGATGAAGGCATCCCCAAAGCTACCTACAACTCCCCGGATCTGCACACGAGCTTCATCGTTCCATCTCCTCATCAGACACCCTCTCAGAAATGTTGCATTCCTTAGCTGCTCGTCCGTCACTATTCCCTGACCACTATCATCATCCCTCCTTGCAACCTATCTTGCCCCAGGCCACTTTCTTTCCTGAGCAGGTGTAATATATCTCTAACTTGAATGCGTTATGTATGTAATCCATGCGTGCCTTTTCCTATCTCGAAAAGTAATTCGGCACTTTAAGATTATATAAAAAACGTGTCGACCATATTCCTGAACCAAGTTATAACGATGTAAAATGTATTTAAAAAGACATTCCAGCAGATTTGTAAAAAATAATTATAAATGTTTTCTTTAATTTGCATGTTTTAAAATAACTAATAATAAATCAAAAGAAACGCTCCAGCGCATGAGAAAATGTCTAAGGTCAGAGAAAGGGCGCGTTTGAGGGACATTAAGCATGTTTACAAAATGTCACTGCGGGCAGGCTGCAACGTCACTAAAAACATCAACATTACAAACAAAAAAAAACCCTTGCAGCGGAACAAATCCTCAAAACGATGGCCCAAACGAGTCTGGAGGTCGTTAAAATCCATCCGAAGCAGTCAAACTTCTCAAAACCAAGTTACTTTTTTGTTTAAAAACAAAAACAACCCAACCTCGTTAACACGAACGCCACTAATTTGCCACTTTTGAAGCCCCCCTCCTCCGCCTCTCTCTCTCGCCCCTCCCGTACCTGTTTCTTAGGGTTCACGGCTGACACAGTACTTGACGGCTGTTCGTCTCGCGACGGCAGGGTGGGAAGGACACCTCGAGTCCTTGATTTTTTTGTCTATTTATTGTTGTTATCGCCGTTGTTAAAATAAAATAAACCGAGAGGGTTACGACGCGTACGAATGCGAAAGACGGACAGCGGCTGCGGCGGCGTTGGCAGTAGTGGCGAATCGCCTCCTTGCACCACGTGATGCGGTGACGTCAATGGGAATCGATTCAAAGATGTAGAAATGTTGGACATAAGTCAAAGCCGATTTTTGGATCGATTCCGGTATTTTTTTGTAAAAACATATTATATTATTATTTTTGTTAAAACTTGGGAATGAAAAGTAAAACATAGCGCTGTGGCCCAAAGAAGGTCGTGTTTGAATCAGTGCCTCTTAGGGGCCGTCCATAATTGACGTCACGCACCTAGTGGGGGTGGGGGGGGGTCAGACATTTGTGACGATATGTGACGAGGAGGGGGGGGGGGTTGAGAAATGTGACGTCACATCAAAATGCGCAACTTTAAATAAATATAAACAACACGTTCTAATTCATATTCTTAGCTCTTTCGGTAAAGTCACGTTGAAGGGAAACAATAAAATAACAAAAATATATCTAAAACAATAAAGAAATACAAACACCGTTTTATAAATAAATAAATTGATGCAAACCGCCACTTCTTTCAAATGTTTATTGCCGTTGGTTTTCACACCTGATGATGGCCGTTTGTGTTATAGTCGAAACGTCGTGAGAATTTTTTGTATTTTTTATATATTTTTTATTATTTTATTGTTTCCCTTTAACGTGACTTTACCGAAAGAGCTAAGAATATGAATTACTGCAGTCACGTGTTCAATTTTGATTTAAAGCTTTCGTGACTGCAGGGATTCATATTCTTGGTTCTTTCGGTAAAGTCACGTAGAAGGTAAACAATAAAATAATAAAAAATATAAGTTCTACTTAATTAAATAGACTTTTTAAATAAATGTTTTCTCCTACAACATCAGAGTGCAGCGCCACATTAAATACGCACTACAATGACAATAGTTTTAATCGATTTGAAACATGTTTTATTTTGTTGGGGGGGGGGGGCAGAGCTTTGTGACGGCATATTTGAGGGGGGATTTTACCTTTTTGTGACGCCATGTGACGAGGGAGGGGGCGGTCAAAAATCGTCCAAAATCGCGTGACGTCATTTTATGGACGGCCCCTAACACCGTTGTCGTTTTGTGAACCAGATGCCCCGCCTGGACATCTGTGACAAAGAGCTTTACAGCTCCTCGGATTCCTCCTGCAGTATAAAACAAATGTTCTGGTCCTGAGGGCACACAAAACATGGACAAGTGTGCAACGAAGCGCGGGGGAGATGCACGCAGGGCCGTCCAGATGTCACGCTCTTCCTGTTTCATTCATTCTAAGGAATGTTTCATTCTGGAATGAAACAGGAGGATTTATCCACAAATCTGGCTGTCCTCCTGATGATGCCGGGTGTAATTGCTGGCGAAACGTCGTACTCAGATTGCAAATGTTGTGTATTTACTCTCCAACACACCGGTTAGTGCTGTACCAGTAACGAATTGGTGACGTTCTACTTCCGTGAAAAACCTTACTAATTGGCTGTGCCGGGTGGTGGCGGGTTTAACAACACATTTATATTTACGCGATGTAACCCAAAAAAACATATATCATGGATGATATTGGTCGCGAACGCCTACGTGTTAAACTAAACTATTTTTTTTATTCTACCAGGTGAGGCCCACTGAGCTACGTAGCTATTTTCCAGAAGCGACCTGGCTATCACAAATGATAGCTCCACGAAGTGGCTTATCACGTGGAAAATTGCGGCGAAACACTCTAAACGCCGTGATGTCGATTCTACATGTGGAGGGGGAAAACCAGAGGATGCGGAGAATCCACGCGACCACGTGGAGAGAGAGACACGCAAACTCCAAATGTACAGCAGCAGGCGTCAGGATCGGGATCGAACCCACGACCTCCTGTATACCAGGCGAGGGAGTTAACATCTCCTAGCCACCGTGATGATGATGATTATGAGAGAGACACGCAAACTCCAAATATATAGCAGCAGCAGGCGTCACGGTAGGGATCGAACCCACGACCTCCTGCATACCAGGCGAGGTAGTTAACATCTCCTAGCCACCGTGATGATGATGATGAGAGAGACACCGCAAACTGCAAATATACAGCAGCAGGCGTCACGGTAGGGGTCGAACCCACGACCTCCTGCATACCAGGCGAGGTAGTTAACATCTCCTAGCCACCACCGTTCTCCACGCTCACATTAGACAATGTAAATAAATGCCAATCGTAATTTACCGACACGATTATGACCAAAAATAAAAAAAACAATTGTGCACGGGACATTCTTCATTATTTTCCAAACCATCTGGTCGGCGTGGAAAGAGTAGGTCAAATATCCTCGACTGTAACGTATGTTGAACTTATTTCGCACCGTACGTAGACAATCGTGATAATCGCCACGGTGGCTACGAGATGTTAACTCCCTCGCTATGTATACAGGAAGTCGTGGGTTCGATCCCGATCCTGACGCCTGATGCTGCTGCTGTATATTTGGAGTCTGCAGTGTCTCTCTCTCTCCCCGTGGTCGCGTGGATTTTCTCCGAGTCCTGCGGTTTTTCCCTCCAACATTTATAATCAACAACATGACGCGTTTTAAGAGTTATTTCGCTGCTTGAAGGGTGTTTGGTTGAAAAAAGAACGACATAGCTCAGCGAGCCTTACTTGGTAAAAAATAAAGTTTGGTTTTCGTTTAGGGGCCGTCCATAAATGACGTCACGCACCTAGGGGGGGGGGGGTCAGACATTTGTGACGATGTGTGAGGAGGGGGGGGGTGATAAATGTGACGTCACATAAAAATGCGCAACTTTCAATAAATATAAACAACACGTTCGACTTAATGAAATAGACATTTTTAATAAATGTTTTCTCCTACAACATCAGAGTGCAGCGCCGCATTAAATACGCACTACAATGACAATAGTTTAAAGCGATTTAAAGCATGTTTTATTTGGGGGGGGAGGCAGAGCTTTGTGACGTCATATTTGAGGGGGGGTGTCTGACTTTTTGTAACGCCGTGTGACGGGGGGGAGTCAAAAATCGTCCAAAACCGCGTGACGTCATTTATGGACGGCCCCTTCGTAATCGGAGCTCACTTGCGCCAGTAGCGGCTGAGCAAGCAGTTGCTGACCGCAGGACGCCGCCAGAGGCTTCCAAACGTCTTGCGGCCAGCAACAAACAACACTATTAAATTCTGATTTCAAGCTTTCGTGACTGCAGGGATTCATATTCTTGGTTCTTTCGGTAAAGTCACGTAGAAGGGAAACAATAAAATAATAAAAATATTAAACAGTAGCTAAAGGGCTAAACTTTGCAGTCACACCTAAACATCTTCTTTGGTTCTTTCGGTAAAGCCACGTAGAATGAGAATAAAATAATAAATTGATAAAATAAAATAACACAATAATATTCTCACGACGTTTCGGCCACAACACAAGCGGCCTTCATCAGGTGAAGGGACGAGACTGTCTGGTAGGACAGCGCTGGAATGAAAAAGCCACGTTCAGATCACGACCTTTAAGCTGTGTGAGAGGAAACAAAGCGCCTTGACAAAGGAATTAGCATATAATTTAGCATTGAAATGGCTGAGTGATTAGCTTGTGACTGGTCACAGAAATGGCTATGTTCAAAGTTAAAGCATACACATCCGCAGAGGCACCCCTTTTGTCATTAATGACAATTCTATATTGTTTCCCTTCTACGTGACTTTACCGAAAGAACCAAGAATATGAATCCCTGCAGTCACGAAAGCTTTAAATCAAAATTCTATATTTATTCAAAGTTGTGCATTTTTACGTGACGTCACATTTCTCAACCCCCCCCCCCACAGGTGCGTGACGTCATTTGTGGACGGCCCCTACGATGCGCGTTAACCACCGCGTCTCCTCTGCAATTGAGCGATGTTAAATTATCACGATAACCTTTTTAGGGGAATTCCAAAGTGGAGCTGTGCGAGGAAAGAAGCAGACACCGCAAACAGTTTGCATGTTTATACTTTAAACAGGTCCCTGCAGGGTGGGCTGGTAGGAACATTGGAATTTTTCACTTCGTTAAAGTATTGAAAGGGGACGGACGGACGGACACATTAATCTATTGCAGGCTGGTACACTCAGTTTACAACTTCGTTCCTACCAGTAATAGGCAGATCACAAGAGGAATCGGAATCGATTTTATTGTTAGTGGTCGATACCGCTCTTTAAATAAAACACATTCCTGCGGAGGGGGCTGGTAGGAAATTTTGAAGTAATTTTGAAGTAATTATGTACGGATATTTGAGCCAAACTTGTTAGGGTCGTGCGCAGAAGAAAGCAAAATGAAAAGTGAGCAGAATTATAAAACGACGCCAGAAAGTGCAGTGTAAAAGAGGTCGCACCAGAAAGTGCAGTGTTATAATCCATTGCCTCCTGTGAATTAATCCCGGTTGGGCTTCCAGTCCATATAAGGGCACCACGGGGTGACCAGCCCCTCCTTACCCAGCCCCACCCCACCCAGCCCCACCCCTCCCACCCCCCACCTAGCCCCACCTAGCCCCACACAGCCCCACCCAGCCCCTCCCCACCCTCCCCTCCCCACTCCACCCAGCCCCTCCCCACCAAGCCCCTCCCTACCCTCCCCTCTCCACCCAGCCCCACCCCTCCGACGAGGACAGACATCCACAGACATACACAATTAATCCCCTGCCTCCTGTGAATTAATACCGGTTGGGCTTCCAGTCCACTACGTTTCCTACCAGTATAAAACTTTCCTTCCCTCCGTGACGTCAGCACGTTTAATTCCCGTCACGCTGGGTTATATCAGTGATAAGTACGTCAACCGGCCCTGACGTCACCACGCAAAAAATGTGCCGCGGCGACGTCACCACGCAAAGAATGTGCCGCGGCGACGTCATCACGCAAGCTGATTGCGGGTGACTTCGCTTCTCAGGCTGATGCAGATCATCTCTCGGGACTGCGTTATGACGTCATTACGCCGCGGCGCGGTGACATCGCTCTCAGTCACCGACGTGGAATCCGTCGAAAGAGTATGCGAGTCACGGACACTACGCGGCTATGTAATGACGTCGAGAATATGACGTAATGACGTTCGCAATGTGACGTCATTACGTTGCGGCGAGTTGCGCCGTAGGAACACCATTACGTCGCGATAAGTAGACGCCCTGATTTGTTTAGGACTACGTGGTGACGTCATTACGCCGTCAAGACGGAATGCACTGTGATCTGACGGGCCTACCTGGTGACATCATTACGCCGCCGAGACCTGAGACACCAAACTTGACGCCTACGTGGTGACGTCAGTACGCCGCCAAGTCTTCGCGCAACCGGGCTTGCCGGGCCTACGTGGTGACGTCATTACGCCGCGACGCGGTGACGTCCTCCGTCTCCAGGGGTAACGAGGCGAGTAACAACGATGGCGTCCAACCCGTCTGTGTTTCTCGTGATGGCGAGCGGGCAGATAGAAGGCGGGGAGGTGAGGCGATGTCTCTTGTTACAATACAGATACGCGACCACGCACACACCCCCGCCCCCCCATTGCTGTGTTTAACTACAGTGGTACAGGTCAAAACAAAACACACCCGGCCAACCGCTCACCCACTCACCCACTTCACAGAGACACTCGCACCCACCCAGTTACCCAGTCACTCACCCAGTCACTCACCCAGTCACTCACCCAGTCACTCACCCAGTCACTCACCCAGTCACTCACCCAGTCACTCACCCAGTCACTCACCCAGTCACTCACCCAGTCACTCAAAGACAAAGATCCCTCGTTTAGCCTCAGCAGACTGTTGGGGCAAGTGCCGTAAGCGAGAAGCACCTATGAAGGCAGGCACGGCACACGAAGGGGTGGGTGGCCAACACCACGCCCGGCCATCTTTGTCTCCAAAGTGGCGATGTTTACACATCGCACCAGGTACTCATTTGAGGCTGAGTCGACATAGGGGAGGCCCAGGACCAGTTCAGATAATCGTCACCGGTGGTGGCCGTGAACGGGAATCGAACCCGGGTCGCCAGGTTCGCTTCGAAGCGAAGCGCGCTATCCGCTACACCACCGCTCCCCTCAGTCACTCACCCACACACTCAACAGTCACTCACCCAAAGTAACTCACCCACACACTCAGTCACTCACCCACACACTCAGTCACTCATCCACACACCCACTCACCATCCACCCACTCACCGACTCACCCACCCACTCACCGACTCACCCACCCACTCACTTACCCAGTCAATCCTTCCCTCACTCACTCACCCACTCAATGAAACGTCGGTGAGCTTTATTGATAAAATAACATTGGCACGGTATAAATCATATCTCTGTAAACGTGACGATCTTGTCAGGTTGTTGAGGGTTAACGACAATAACTTTGGCATAAAACTACCACGTGGCGATCCAACCCAAAATTAATACCGCATGGAGTATTTGGCTTGCTATACACATTTCCACGTGGGTGAGCCGCTTCGTTGAGCCATCATTTGTGGCCAGGTCGCTTCTGAAAAAGCGCCACGTCGCTCAAGTGGGCCTTACCTGGAAAAATAAAACAGTTTAGTTTTACTGTGTGTGCTTCGACTGTCAGTGTTTGAAGCTTCTTGAATGATGATTATGATTAAAAACATATTCGGGTAATTAAGAGTAACACTTTCGGTAAAGCGACGTGTGAAGAAGAGTGAGTTGGACATCACCATCGGTAGCCGTCTTGGCTAATCGACTGCTGGGTGAAGGCTCTTCCCCACGCCGTCCAGATTACGGCGGTTCTTTGACCATACTTCACCAGCCTGGTACAATGCCGTGGTTGGTGGGGGCGGAGGCGCCTCGGCACTGACGGTCACCGTAGCCCGGCTCGCCGGGCCGTCTGGAACGCTCTTTCGATATTAGAAAGCCACTGGAGAGCTATGCACTTCTCAAGCTAAATTGAAAATCCATGTTTTTAAAACTGATTTTTTGTGTGTGTTTAGTTTGTTCTTTTCCCCCGTATCTCCGATTATCCACGGTTGGCGACCTACGGTGCGAAATAACTTCAACAAACAGGACATACTTTTACTTGGCGCAGTGCGCTGACCACTGCGCCACCGCTCCCCCCACAGTTGTTCTTTCTGGTGGGTAAATTGAATCTGAACTCCATTAAGTGTGCAGTGACACATCATCGGACCTGCCCAATCCACTGCTGGAATATGGTCATTAACACGTTTTTATATAAACTTAAAGTGCCGAATTATTTTGAGAGATAGGAAAAGGCACGCATGGATTACATACAGAACGCATTAAATTTAGAGAGGTGATATTACACCTGCTAAGGAAAGAAAGTGGCGTCGGGCAAGACAGGTTGTCTAGGCGTGTATCTACACCCCGGTGACTTTTGTGCCTTCTTTTTAATTGTTAATTGTATTCTCGTTGTTGGCTAAGTTCCCAGAGTTCGACGACCTCTACTGCAAGTACTGCTTTGTGTACGGCCACGACTGGGCACCGACCGCCGTGAGTACCTTCACATTCACAGCAGAATTCTCCATGCAAGGCTCCGTGAGCCAAGGCCGTAGCCATGGAGTCAACATTGGGGGGGGGACCAAATCTTCCAGGGGGTCTGGGGGTCCCCTCCCCCCAGAAAAATATATAAATTTGAAAACGAATTTCTTGCCATTTCCTGCCTAAAATATAAAAAAAATCACCAACACATATGGTGGATTTTTTAAAATCAATTTTTTACAATAATGTCGAATAGTGTATTGTATTACATTGCTCTGTTTTTTTACCTTTTTTGTTTCATTGTATGTAATGTCAGGGATTAATAAAGTACAACCATAACCACAATCATATTAACAGAAATCTATTTTATAGCAATATATTGCGGGGGACATTTTGAGCATATTTGAATATTGGGATGTGTCCCCCCCCCCAATATATATTATAATTACGGCCTTGCCGTGAGCTATAAAGTGATGTTTAAAATTGAATTTGTGTATTCCTATGCGTGTGCTGATTTTGTTTACATGTTTTGCATTGGCTGGTTTGGCGTGCCCGTTTATACTGTACCTAGATGTCCCTAGGCAAATGACACAGGTGGTCAAAAGTCGTCATCTACTATGCCCAATGTACAAATATTCCACCAGAGGCTCAGTCTGTCGAATATTACTGTCTTGAGACCCCATCAGAGACCGGTCTGTCAGTTTGTTATTGTCTTGAGACCCCCGCATCATAGACTTGTCTCAGTCTTATTTTGTTTCGACACATTTAGAGACCAGTCTCTCGGTCCATTGTCTGGAGACCCCCATCAGACTGGTCTGTCATGCAGTTGTCAAGATAGCCCATTGGAGACCAGTGCGTTAGTCTATTATCTGTAGAGATCTCATCCAACTGGTCTGTCGCCCTTTCGTCTTGAGACCCCATCATAGACTGGTCTGTCACTTTTCTTACCTATGTATGTTGAACTTCTTTCGCACCGGACGTAGCCAACCGTGCTAATCTGAGCTGCGGGGGGGAGGGGTGAAGTATAAAACACACTAATTACCTTGAAGATCCCCATGTCCGTTCTCACTGGAGTTGTCATCGCTGTTGTTAACCGACGATGTGTACGTAACCACGCGCATTACTTCTCCCATAGGGCCTTGAGGAAGGCATCTCACAGATCACGTCCAAGAGCATGGACAGACGCCAAGCCTTCGTGTGGAACTTCCCCCTGGACATCACCTTCAAGAGCACCAACCCCTTCGGCTGTGAGCAAACCCCGAGTGCCTAACACATCCCCGAGTGGTGCAGATTTGACCCATTGGGTGTACCGTATGTACGTTGAACTTCTTTCGCACCGTACATAGCCAACTGTTGCTAATCGGAGGGGTGGGGAAGGACAACTAACCGCAAAAAGCAGTTTTAAAGAAATTAGTTTTCAGTCTAGATTTAAAAGTGCATAGTTTCATTGGCTTGCTCATATCGGAAGAGCATTCCAGATGGCCGCAGAAGTGCATCCTAAAGCGTGCAATGCGGTGACCGTCTTTGTTCTACGGCTAGCCAAAAGCCAATGTGAGGATGACCGGAGTTTGCGTGATGGTTTACGTTCCCTGACGAGATCAGCAGCAAGTTATTGCGGTGGTCATCTCAATTGGCAGTCTGAACTGTGGAAATGACATTTTATATACCTACAAAGTGCTACTCATTTTACTGATTCCGAAGACATGATGATGGTAATAACAATAATGGTAGGTTAAATCGACCCCCATACAGTTTCTTATCTGGGAAATCACTCGTGCATAAACCAGGTTCTCAACGGACTTCACGCAAAAAAAATATACCATCATTTAAATTTTGGTTTGTGAATTAAGTCGGCCTATTACAACTCTGAGGTTTTTTTCTATTTTACTTTAGATGTGAGGAACACTGTTTGCAGGCTTTTAGTGGGAATAAAGAGATAAAGAAAGTGACTCAAGTGACTTCAAAAGTATCTCTGTGACGTCATCTTCCAGGGTCACTCTCGAACAGTGTGGCACACTGCCGGCTGCGAGAGTTCCAAACAAAAAAATGTCCTTTCATGATACAATACCAATAGCACACTTGGCATGTGCGTATACATGCGTAGTGACTAACTCGGAGACGATAAGACTTGGAGGCACTTCTTTATTATCGAGCACCATCGGGATTAACACACTTTATATTTAGTCCATCTATTATCGGCGACGCTACTCAGCCAGGACAGTTGGTAGGCTGCCTGACTAGCGGCGCCCCGAGATGGTAGAGACGACGACGAGAAGAATGGCGACGATGGACTTCAGCAGCACGACGGGGATCCCACCCCAACAGCCCCGAGGTCCCCCACAGGGGCCCCTCTTATACTGTCAGGAACCTACTAGCGGGTTCCTGGTGGACCCCTTCCGTGACCTTTCCCCTAGATTCCCCTCTCGTGTATATCCTGGCCTGCTGACGTCAGAACTGCCACACGCCGCAGATCCCCTTTTCTGCCAGCAGCCAGCGCTATGCCACTACACATATACGTTGAACTTCTTTGGCACCGTGCGTAGCCAACTGTGCTAATCGGAGGTGCGGGATCATCATCAACCCTGAGCAATATCGTGTCTTCCCAAATCATCACCGTCTCTCACAGACCTGTGATGTAGCACTGCCATCCAGCGCCTGCACACAAGTTCGATTTCATTGCTCGCTCTTCGTGGTCGCGACGCAAGGTCCTTTCGGCTACGTTGCCTCCTTCGGCCGCCACTCCCAACTCGCGTTTGACTTGACCTTCTAGAGACGTGTCCTGCCCAACAATTTCAATATACTTGGGATTCTTCTTCTTCTTCGTATGGCTGATGTTGATGTAGAGCAACTGTAATTTTCCATCGATACTCGGGATAGAACATTGTAACTTTGCGGCAAGGCCAGAGAGAACACGCACATCTGTGAATGCAATGGAGATGTCCCGTGACCTGCCAGCAGCGAGCTTTCGACACTTCACGTGGCCTTCGGGAGTGCACCTGGCCTGGCACGAACGCCGTGGTGACCTCACCGCCACTTAGTGGCGAATGCCGGCAGCCGTTGTTGTTATTGTCGCCGCCTCCTGTTCTCGACGCCGTTGCCGTGCTGTGCCGTGCACCACCGCACCAGGGCCACAGTTGGTGCTGAGCGTCTACGGGCCCGACGTGTTCGGCAACGATGTGGTGCGTGGGTACGGAGCCGTGCACCTGCCCATCGCGCCGGGACGGTGAGGGGGAAGCCGCCGCTACTCGCATCGCATGTCTGCTCGCACCCACTCACCGCAACCTCCGCGGCTGCCCATTTATGAAATCCGCAAACGCTTTCGTACCACGTTATAAGTCTGTACTTCCACATTTTGCTTACTCAATGACGTTGATGTCATTGCACCTCCGTCAACGCACCATCGCTTCTGTTAATATTTCGTAGCTTTTGCAAAGTCGACACCAGTCCTCCCATGATCTGCTCTTATATTATTATCATCATCACCATCACTGCATGGATTTTGGTCATACCTTTAGTCACCAGTGGGTGTCACTCGATTGGCCATGTCGTAACCTGCCCTGCTCCATGCTCCACGTGTGCCCCGCTCATCACAACCTCCTCAGCTGCTCGATAATTAAATCCACTCAACTTTCTGGCCACATTATATTTTGAACTGCCACATTTTGCCAACCCTATCCTGCCATTATATTCATAGCTTCCTTCATATGCCCTCGTATTCAAAGGCCGTTATCTTTGCTTGTCGCTGTGATAAAGGCAAACTTTCCAACGTGTCCAGCACACGCAAAAATAACTCCTCAAATACAAATCTTAAGTAACTTTCTCTCATGTTGGCTCCTCGGAAGTGGGGAAATGTTATCTCCCTCACCTGGTACGTAGGAATCCGTGGGTTCAATATCGGACCCGACGATGCCTGTATAGTTGGAATTCACGTGTTCTCTCTCCCGATGGTGGTTACATGGTTTTTATCCGGGTCTTCCAGTTTCCCCCCCCCCCCCCTCTGCTGCACATTTAGAATCATATATTTTATTTATTTGACGGCTACTGTGAATTCCCACGTGATGATGATATCAGCCACTTTGATGAGCTATCATGTGTGGCTCGGTTGCCTCTGAAAAAGAGCTAACAGCTCAGTGGGCTTTACCTGGCAAATAAATAAACATCACTTGGCAAAACTTGGATGCATAAAAATTATATATATTAATATTATCTATAACAATAAGGTTCACAACCTGCAGTCCCGTAACTGCGGCCACTTGCCGGCGGCCTTGGGCTGTGGTCATCCTTGTTACAGAGCTGCTTGGCTCAACAGGGGCCTCATCGTCTCGAAGTCCAGGTCTGAGATGACATATGGATGCGCTCACAATTTGAAGTTATTGCACTTTGCTTCACTTCTAACGACCGTGTTTGGAAATTGCTTCCACAAAAGCTTTGCCACCTCGGGTGGTAGCAATTCCTGCTCGTTTACTGCACGTTCGACTCTACCGACGGATGACCAAGTTGCTTTTTAAAAATCTCCTTTGTGTGCGTGTTTTTTTTTCCAGGCACGAAAGAACTATCCCAATGTTTGTTCCCGAGTCAAGCTCAAGACTCCAGCAGTTTATGAGGTACAATTTTGTATAGCCAGTCTACAAGTATTACAAATTATCTGGTGATGTTGGTGATGTGGGCAGCGGTGCACACAAGCACAATTAACAACAAAAACACTCAACACATTCGTCAATGTATGTATGTTGCACTTGTTTTGCACCGTACATAGCCGTATTAATCGGAGGTGCGGAGGAATGACAATCGGTGACGTCTCAAGCAATGCCCCTTCTTCAGAGCACGTAAATTATGTGTTAGGGTTTGGATTAGGGGTCCGTTTATGTGCGCGGGTGCTTGTGGTTTGTTGTACTCCAGCTGGCTGCGAGGCAGGCGACCAGAATACACGGACCCCAAGGTGGTGGCTCGAGGAGAGGGCAGGGAAGGTGAGCTACCAAGGCTTCGTCTTCTTTAAGTCATTTTCCCCTTGAATCTGAATACCGTGTACATCTGTCCTCGGAATAATGTTGAGCGGATTTACCCTGTTTTGCAAACAAAAACTAAAAACAGTTCAAACTATTTTTTATTTTACCAGGTAAAGCCCACTGAGCTGTATAGCTTTTTTTTTAAGAAGCGATCTGGCCATAAATAATGGCTCAACAAAGTGGCTTATCACATTGAAATGTATAAGCAGCCAAATACTCTAAACGCATGTTTCTAAATGTGATGGGAAAAAAACGGAGGACCCAGGGAAAAATCCACGTGACCACAGGGAGAGACACATGCAAACTCCAAGTATGCAGGCGTCAGGGTCGGGATCGAACCCACAACCTCCTGTAAACCAGGCGAGGGAGATAACATCTCGCCACCGCAGCGCCCCTAAAATGAAGCTTGAGATCTCAGAGTGTGTGGGGGAACACGTGTTCTGTGTGGCGCAGACAGCGTGAATAGCTTTGTGCATCACGTGGGTCGTATTTAACAATCATCGGGCGCGTGCAGCGTGGAACGAGTTAGAATGGGGAGTAACTTGTCAAATGCTTAAGGACAGAGCATGGTGGGGTCGCAAGGACTGGAGTTTGGGAAACCCTTGGGTAGTGGAACAAAATCCATTGTTGCACTGTATTATGATCCAGCGTCAATGCCCCCAGCCTGCACTGACGAGCGTGGTGAAGTATGGTCAAGTATTCCCCACAACTCGCACGACACGAGGAGCCCGTCATCCAGTGGTGGATGAACAAAAGGGCCGTGCGTAAAACACATTTTTGTACTCACCTTCGTAGTTACATTTGCTCTATTTCGAATGCAAAATATTTGAGCGGATACTTAACCGCGGTCGTTTCACGTTCTCTCCTTCCCCGTCTGGTGCGCGCGCGCCTGTGCACATCACACGGCAGTGACGCGCGTGCGATCGCAGGGATACATTCACGTCGTCTTCAACATCGTCACCAAGGACTTGCGGAAACTCGGCTACGAGACGGTGGCGGCATCGGCGTCAGACGTCCACCACGCCGCACGCTCGACGCCGTGACCGCCGCCAAAGCTTAGGGGGCACGACTTGAAGCGGAAACCGAGCTAACGGCAACCCCCATAACAATCACCCCACTGGGCCTCCCCCAGATAAGGGGAACCCGCCCGTTTGCGACAGTGCGCACCACCCTCCTGCCGTTAAGTGCCAATCGGACGGATGTCAAGAGATTCATCGTTCGCTCTGAAACGTACGGATGTCGTAGAGAGATGAGTTTCAAAAGCGACGTATTCTGATGCTGCGTCACCGCCACTTGCGGTGAGAAAAGAGCCGAAGTGATGTCATGCCGCTTCCTGCGACATGTGACACCATTTCCTGTGACGTCATGGGTATGTAGTCACTTCGTGTGGCGCGATGTTTTTTTTCGCAATCCGTCACAATGTTTTATTTTTACAGAGAGTCCAAAATTCCATATGTAGCCCCGATAATTGGAACTTTTTGGGATTATTCTCAAAATCTTGAACACATTCCGACGATGTAGCCGTTCACCTTCTCGACCAAGCGATGAAGCGCGGAGAGATGCGGGTGTCACAATTCAAACGTATACTTTTTTACATATATTTCTTTTACATTTGTGGTGTGACAAAATCTATAATGCTTAGTTCAGTATCGACATATATCAGTCGACGAGAACAGATTATACATTCAGGGATCCTCTTCACACAATGTAAAATGTATCGCTTGATTTCACAACAGTACTATGTTTCAAGCCAATGTCATTTTTGTTAAATAAAACATTTGTACATTTTCAACGCCGCCGGAAGACCTCTTTTGCTCCTCACAAGTACACTCCCCCACCTTTATTAATAAAAATTATAAATGCACAAAAAACTCCAGCGGAAACACAATGTACACAACATGGTGACCACCTACCTTCCTTCCTTGTTCCCATAGCGACAATCAATCGCATTGCATTCTGAACACCAACTGCATTCAAGTGCCACAGTTAACAATGAAAACATTTCATGAATTACCGCCACACACAACAACATGCTGGTTGATTCACAATGGGAGGTGTAATTATTGTGATGGGAGGGGATGGTTGTTGGCCATTAGCCTAATAAAACACTGGGTTTTGTCTCAAGCTGAGCAGTGCATCTTATCAAATATTACACTCAATTAAACACGGAATACTTGACCGTGGCATATACCTATGGTACATTGTTAGAAGACTCGTGTGTTTTTCGCCATGACGCTCAATGATTGTGTAATGTACGATTATTATAGGAGTATTGGGTCCCGAGTTCCGACGCAGAACCAATCTACCTGAAAGGGCCCTTTCCTTTAAACATCGGGCAGTTCACCAGCATTGTATAAAGCAAGGGCTGACTTTCTGATGAGACACAGAATGCCAAATGCCGGTTCACACTTTGCTTGCATTAAAATAATCCTGCTAGGAAGATGCACTCCCAGAAGGCCGTGGGGCCGATGGCATGTGTAACAAAAAACACGCAACTTTAAACGACGAGAGAGACAAACATGGGAAGGAGGCGTTATGTCCAGCTTATTTATTAATTTGAAAGCAAAAGCGTGGCCAGAATCTCAACGGCACACGATGGGGCGTTTTGAAGCTTTATCTGAACGGCGCCCCGAGCGTAAAATGTGAAATCGCGGCGGCTAAGGCTGACATCCTCCGAAGCTCCTCACGCGAACCACATCCACAACAAAGCAGCAGCGGCAGCTCGGCGTTGCCACAAATTCATCGACGAGTGCTGTTTTAACGAATGCTGCCGATTTCCGCTCGCAAACAGACGCGCGTGCCGAAGGATAAAAATGATAATTTTTCAGAGACAAAAAAAAAATTACCCATAGGTACTGTACGAGCAAAAGTGCATCATCGCCATTTCAAGTTGAGTACAATTCACAACTCGACGACATTTTCAGTTAATCTGCAGTACAAAATAAATCGCCAATGACGCTCTCGTTAAAGGTCTTCGTCTTCAGTTTGCCCACGATGCTCTCAGCCGTTCGCAAACGACCGCCCTTGTACAGCTGTCGCCGCAATACCAACACGCAGTCGCACGCTACGCACAGCGATTATATGCCAAACAACAAAACAAATTAAGAGCCAGCGCAAGCCACAACAGTGGATTAATGAAGATGATTCGGAAAAGCTTATCATCAACTTGCACACGCAGTGCCCGGCAAAACGTTAAGCCCAAACAACGGCTCCCAGCCGCTGGGTGCGCGCACAAAGTGTGTACAAGTGGGGAAGCAGGGTTTTTTTCTCCTTCGAAAAGTAGACGGGCACCTCGTGTACAACACGTGCACGGATGAGGATTCCGAGTGGGGAAGGGAACGCTTGGGAGGGGTGCCACGAAACCGCCTCACTCTCGCCTACACGTGCCGAGATCGAATTGGACGAGTATGACCAAAACTTTGAGATTTGGGGGAGAAAAAGGCACGCGCACCCGCACACGCACGGTCATCGAGGGTCCCGGAACGGATTCCAACATGACGCTTGTCTCCACACCAGTGCCGGATTAAGCGAGTGCGGGGCCTGTAACATATGTTGTTATAAAGGGGCCCCTAAAAATTTTTTAAATATATAAAAAAACACATACATTTTTGTTACTTGCATAGTAAAGTAATTGTCATTTTTTTCATTTGCTATAGAGCCAGATAATACGACACATCGCTGACCTTAAACACCCGGTCGTTCATAAAAGTTGAAGGCGGTATAGTACTATGGTAATAGAGTAAGTGCAGAATCACTGAACCGGAATTGATAGCTCGAAAGCATTTAGCGCGGGGCCCTTGAAAGTGCGGGGCCCGTAGCTGCATATGTCGCTACTTGTGCTACTGGGATAATCCGGCACTGCTCCCCACCACCCCCACGCAGGCAAGTGCTCGATGCGTGAGAGATTCGCGTTTCGTCACAAGGCCTCACAGCGAGATGACGTCACGCGTGGGCGATGACATCACAAATAATCACGTCATCGCCTTGGCCTGGCAAGGGCGGAAACGTTTGCGGTGGCGCTGGATGTTTTTGTTGTTCTTGTCCCGTCTAGTTTTAGGTAAACACAACCTTTTGATAATTTTCTTTTCATAAACTATATTTAGCGATTGTGCACAAAAGCAAACTACAACAACAAAAACTCAACACGGTCGTCAATAATTATAACACCGTGGGCTTAAAAATGAAACGATATACAATAGGCGACGTTTTGGGCACTGGCCCCTTCTTTGTAGCACGTGGAATAGAAAGAGGGCTTTTCAAAATGTTTTCCCAATGACCCAGTTTCATCAATTAGGCACGTGCTCGTGAAATTGGCTTTCGGTTGAAATTTGTCTCCATTTTCTGAAGTGCAAGCCCCCAATCGCACTAAAATATGGCTTGCATCGGATCATCTTCCCGAGAGAGCTGTCGCAGGCCTCCCCATTACAGACAGACACCCAGGAGACAGCTAATGCATTAACGTGTCAACCTCAGTCGGAAAGCCGTTACTCAAGGCAGTCCAGACCACGGGACACCTTGCAGTGCATCGTACTGTTAACGCGTGACACTCGTTTGCATCATAAGGTTTACACTTATTTGTTCCAATTTTCACATTTTACAGAAAATTACCATAGCGTCTAATTTCCAGAGCGTTGATTCCACATAACCACCCCTTTTACACACGCGTGTGCGCGCGTGTGCACGCACACGCACGCGCACGTCACAATATGCCTCGGAATACAAAATAAATTAGCGAGCCACTTCCCCCATTACTTTGGGATCTCGATGGCTTTACAGATGCTGGCCCAATGTACCCCCCAAAATATGTTAGACCCCCCCCACCCACACCAACCAAAAGAAAAAATGTTAGACCACAGAATTGGTTAAAATGTAAAGGCTCAATCTTTCTCATGCCAGATCTGAGAACTCCTGAACTGAAATGTCTGCTCCAAGTCTGATCACAAGCATCTTTCTGGCTTGTTCTACAGTTGACGTGTCCCTTTTAAGACCATTGTGACAGCCTCACCCGACCACCTACCCAGGTTCAGGTGTCACCATTAGGTCACTGAGAATCTCTGGGGCACGTTGCTCCAAAAGCCAGCATCGGTAGCTCGGTCTCCTCCAACATCCACCAGCCACGCGCACGTGTCACAGCCATCACAACCTGCCGCCCCCCCCACCCTTTCCTGATCTACACAACAACGAACCCCATTAACGAAATGATTTGCCGCTAGCAACCCACTTTCGCGGGCCCGTCCGGCTGTCCGTACGCGTGACGCGACAACGACGACGCGCCTTCGCCCGTAAATGCTTTCAGATTGAGCGGGGTGAAATTTAAAAGAGGTCGCGCCGTCGTCAGAGAGTTTTAAAGGGAGGACCCAAACGAGTAAACGCGCGAATAGAAATCTGCTGGCAGTCGCACCGTTGTCGTTCTTGCCGCGAGGCAGTGGCGGACTCACGGCTCTCGGTTGAGGCAGTCTTGAGTCCTCGTGGCCAGCCCCTAGGCCAGCTGCACCTCGCTCATCGCGAGTCAGTGAATCAGTCCCCACGAGACCAGTCCTGGGCCTCAAGGCCCAGCTTCAAGGACATTGGACCGTGGCCTCAGGGTCGTGGCCTTGACACCGGTCTCAGCCTACAGGATCCAGCCCTGAACAGGCCTTGCACTCGGCTTGGCCGTGATTGGCTCACAGCCTTGAATCCAAGACTATAACTTCCACCTCAGGTTTTATTCCAGTCTTGGATGAGAACGCTTTAGCGTTACAACCATCAACAAATCCGCCTAGTGACTCGAAAATTGGAAAAGAACCCCAGGTTTCAGTTTGCAGCATCTCCGTCAACTGAGATCTGTGAGCCGACACTGGCTGGCAAACAAATCTCATAGCCCGTAGCATGTTTTGGTCTAAACCCAAGAGTTCACTGCATCAAACCGCAGTCCGATTCAGGGGGCACTCTGGGAGGCCGGTGTGTGTGTGTGTTTGAAGCGTCAATCCATAGGGCTTCACTCTGTCGAGCGAAATGGAGTGCGCCAAGTGCACGAGCCAACGTTCGTAAAAGCACACCCACGGGACGTGTCATCTCTCCTCGTCCGTTTTTCGTGCTCGCAATCGTAGCGAGTCGGACAGAATGGCACCGATAATTGACGTCAAAAGTCAAGGCGACCAAAATGCCTTGGGAGGCTTCCCCGCGGGGACACATGGCGAGCTGGCAGCCCCTCCCTCCATCTATCAGCCCCCGCCCACTCTATCATAGCCACGCCCACACATACACTGAGCAATCTGATTCGCTCTTTTATTACGTTGGACCCGCCCACCGCTCGGGTAGCCCCGCACACTTTCACGGGTAGCTCCGCCCATTGTTAGGGTAGCTCCGCCCACTGCTCGGGTAGTACAAAATCCAAATTTCCACAATTTCTTTTGGCCAAACCACGACGTTTGGTAGCCTCGGTTTGAATACACGAGAAAATATATATATTTTACTGTTTCGATTACATATTTTGATGACTCGAAACAAGTGGACGCTATATATATATGCGTGTGCTTAAATAACTTGAAAACAAAAGTAAATCGATTAGTCAAAATTGCCCACTTTCTATCCGGAATATGTGTAGCCGTCGCGTTTGATTATCAGAGAAGGCAATCGGAGAATGATTTTGACGACACTGATGCTCATCAGCAGTGCGCGCCGCAGTGGCTACGAGATGCCATCTCCCTCGCCTGGTATGCAGGAGGTTTTTGGTTCAATCCCGGACCCTGGCAATGCCCGTTGCGCGTTTTCTCTCGCCCCTAAGTGGTCGCGCGGATTGTTCTCTGGGTTCCTCCAGTTTTGCCCTCCCCATTTACAACCAACGCGCCTCTACATTATTCGGCCGCTGCGATAAATTCCCACATGTGGTGATGATGATGACGATGACATCAGCCGCTTCGACGATGAGCTATCAACGCGTGTGGCCTCTGAAATAGAGCCAATAGGTCAGAGGGCTTTACCTGGTAAATAAAAGAGTTTAGTTTTAATACAGCCGTAAAAAAGTGATGTAAAAACAAACACTCTTGTTGTAGAAATAATCTATGGTCTCAACTCCGGTCCCTTTGCAAGCTGTTCAACCAACAGAATATGTCTTCCGTTCTTTAATGCTCATTTAGCCCGTTGTGAGATTAAATAAATACTTTCTCCGCGTCCTGAAAGCACTTAGGGGAATATTTAACACGAGCCTTGGCCTTACGCCCAATATAACTAAGCCGCATTGTTCCGGCGGCGGCGCTCGCGGATACGCCGCGTTCAAGTCGAGCGGCGGTTCGCGCGTGTGGTGGGGAACAGCGTGGGTAACTCCGACCCTCTGCCAATAACGTTTGGCCACCGTTATAGGGGAGAGTGAGCCAGTAAATTGCAGGGCTGCACATTTGCCTTTTTGTTTCCATTGCAGGAGTGCCGCTTGGCGCTACACGGTTCTGTGCCGAAGTTAGGACCGGGCGCTTCCGCAGACAAAGATCCCCCCCGGTAAGGCCTGAACAGGTTGTTGGCGACAAGTGCTGTTAAGCAAGGAGCACGTAGGAATTCTGGGACGGCAAACAAGGAGGATGGGGCGGCCAGCACCACGCCCGGCCACCTTGGTCTCCCTAGTGGCGATGTTTACAGATCGCACCGGGCATATGTATGCATGCTGAACTTCTTTCGCACCGTACCTAGCCAACCCGTGCTAATCGGAGGTTCCGGTGGGGAGGCGGCGTTCCGTGACGGAACGTCTGCACCTTGGCGCTCAGCCTCCGATCGCAGTGCTCGCTCGGCCTTCTCCGTTGTGCAACGGCAGGCACGCTCATCGGAGCGCGAGACAACGCTCGCGCTTCCTGCCCCTTGTTCGTTTCTTTCTTGAATGCCAGCTGTTGTTTGTAAAAAAAAACAACAAATCATTTATGTAGCCGAACTGCTCACCCAATGTGCTTAATAGGCGCATTGAGAGGAAGGTTTACGAGCCAAACGACGGTAGATTTTGGTCAAGTTTGTAAGGTTCACACTGCCGGGCTGCGAGTCTCAGGTTGTCTGCCGTGACACGAGAGAGCCTCGCTAATGAGACAACGAGAGCAATTACATTCAGGGCGGTGGCGGAACCAGAAGGTGGAGGAGGGGGGGGCAATGGTGAGATCCCAAAATGAATCTCTTTTATACTTTTGGTTTCTTTCGGTAAAGTCACGTAGGTAGTAAAATAAAATAAAAAATAAATTCTACGTGACTTTACCAAAATAAACAAAGAGCATGGATTCCTGCAGTCACGAAAGCTTCAAATCAAGAATAAATATCTTTTGTTGATATTTATTTGCACGTATTTTGCCCATCGATATTGCATTTTTAGGAAGAACAGAAAAATATATCAGTTTGGGAATCTCTCACCCTCCTTCCCCCCCCCCACTGGGAAGTTACTAGAGCCACCTCCAAATCACTTTCCATGAGCCCAGGCCAGATATTATGATTTGTCACTTTCACGGTTCCAAGAGCCTTATGCGGCCAATAAGAGTGACTCACGCGGGAATCAGGCAAAGCGAGTGGGGTGATGTAAAGTTTCCGCGATATGAGGCGGTACCGATTTTTTACGCTCTGGCCCACGGACTATCAGGGCTGCTGCGACACCTTTCCATCCATTCCACGTACATAACCAATAAATACAATTATACCCTAAGTTGTGCACATTTAACTTACACATATTAAGCCGGACAATACAGTTTAACCGTAGCACCCGTTGGTTTTGGTTTAATTTTTTTTTGGTTGTGTCTTCCGAACGCCAGCACCCCGCCATCGCTGGCCAGCGAGGAATGCGCTTCTCGGCACGGCTTTCGGTGGCTTCCTGGCCAAAACTACCCAGCCAAAAATACTCAACCAAACCCAAAATGGGAATGTGCCGATCACCGTTGAACAATAATCACACAGCGGTTCGTTTGATAGAGTAAATATTCTTCTAGTGCGTTTCAGGAAAACGCGCGTTCGTTCAGCTGTTCGCTCACGTTCAACAAATTCGCAGCACCCGCTGCAACATGTCGGTGATGGGAGTTCTCACCGATCACGGTTCGGGCCGAATGAACCGACAAAAAAACAACTGGGCCATCGGCGGGGGAAATACGAATCGGTAAGATTTGAACACCAACTCAACTATCAAGCTACACGAGGGCACCAACAGCCTCCTTCCCACCAAGGTGGATTTTACCACCTTGCCACGTTGGTACACCGACTTCCAGGAACCTGTAAGACTGCTTTTCCACTGCCACCATCGGAGCCGGGTCAGAACGGCACCCTCACAATACGGGCATGGTTTCCCCGCTGGGGATATTTGCCGACAGCCGAGGCAGAAATCTATAACCGCAACACGCCAGCGTCACAAGCGGACGTCTCAATTTGGTTCGGGGGGGGGTGGCCAAGCAGGGCCAGGCGGCCCGTCAAAAGTCAGCCCACATACTTAACCCTTTCTCGTTCCGAGATGTCTACAAGTTGCAGGGTGGGTGGGTGTCCCGTTCGCCACTGAATTCTCGGAACGCGCAAGGAGCCCAGCGTTAATTTAATTTAGAGAGGTGCAGTAGCGCCATTGTTACTCACCGCAGAGACCCGTAGCGACAAGACCGCCACTACTCTACGATAGCCGGCGCCAAACTGTGCCACACGCCCTCCCGCATGGCCTTGTGGGAGCCTCGATACCGATAAGACTTTAGTTTTTATTCCGGTTTACGACGTACGTCATCGGAACGGAATCGGAAGCAAAACCGATGACGTTCGTGTACGTACATCGTCGTCGGAACGGGAAAGGGTTAACTCGTGACGCCAACGTCACACGGTCGTTGCGTGTTGACGTCGGCGGCGCGGTTCCAGCATGGCTCGGTTGTGCAGCGGAAAAAGGTTACGGGAGTTCTTTCAAGACGGGGAATTCGTGCTTGGGAGGTGGGTGATCATGATGATGATGATGATAATAGTTGGGCAGCCGCGCGGAGAAGAAGCTTCTTCAATGTCACTCTCTGCATTCCACCATGAAGACCCACTCAACTGCCCGCCCGTCCGCCCGCAGGTCCACCCACCCGCTCGCGTAACAATCGTTAGTGTCTCATTATTAGGTTGTGTTGCGTCAAACTAGGACCCATATCAAACGCGAAGGGCCCTTTACCAATGATCGTCAGTCTGTTCCACCAAGAGCAATCGGTTCAAGCAAGGCCAACTCTGCCGACGAAACCGTGAATGTCGAATCCAGCCCAGAAGTTTTGCTCGTGTTGAACCAACGTTGCTGAAAATTATGCCAACACCGGACCCAGAAGTGTGGCTAATGGGATGTGTAAAAAAAAAGAAAATTTTGGGATAAAAAATATATATAATTGTAAGTGTTGGAACAGACATGAGGAGGAGAGTTGTGTACGTATTTAGCTTGTTTATCTCTCCTCCTCCCCGTACGTACGTCCCTTGAAACTTCGTTCGCACCGTACGTAGCCAACCGTGCTAATCACCCCCCACAGGTCGCTGCCCCGCCGCCCACCCCCAAAGAGTCGCCCCCCCCGCACACCCCCCAAGAGTCACCCTCCCTCCTGCCACTCCCACCACCCCCCGCGGCTCCCCCGCCTCCCCCTCACACCCGCAAGGGCATGTAGAGGTACCGGAAGATGGCGTAGTAGTGGATGGTGGCAGCCAAGGCCACAAACAGGTGCCAGATGGCGTGAGCGAAAGGCACGCGGCCGTCGCTCTTGAAGAAGATGACTCCGAAGACGTAGAGTGCTCCGCCGATCGCCACCTCGGAGAGGCCTTCCCTGTTGGGCTGAACGGCGCATCGAACGGGACGGAGGGAAAATAATTATATAGAATAATAATAAAAAAAATACGTAAACCCGTTAATCGCTTGCCGTGTAGAAAGACAAAGAACCCCAACCACCTCGTCCCCCCCCCCCACCCCCACTTCTTTCTTCCCCGTATAGCCTTTAAGATTTTTGTTCTTAGAATAATTTTTAAAATATGAACACGTTAATCACGTGCCGTGGCGAAAGCCACTCCCTGACCCGTCTGCTGCCCCCTTCTTCCCGGTATAGCCTTGAATAATCTTTATGTTGTGTGGGAGGGTCCCGGTATAGCCTTGAATAATCTTTATGTTGTGTGGGAGGGAAGGGGAGGGAGAAATCCGATGAGCTATGAAGCTCTTTTTCACCGGTATCTGGTCGGGGGCGGGTCAGCAAGTTACAACAACAAACGACGCAATCGACGATAGGAGTACAAATGAGAGAAACAGTGAGCAAATATCAACAAATAAATAAAAAGTACAATTGCAGAAGTACAAAAAATCCTGCCGATTTGCCAACGCAAGTTTGGGCAAGCCAGCAAAACGACAGTCCCCGACCACGCCCAGACAACACCACACACAGTCCGTCAGTAAAATTGATTGGATGTTAAAATTTGAACTGTCGGTACACGGGTGGCAACGATGAACGTTGGGGCAAGCGCTACAAGCGAGCGCCGATGAAGGCCGTCACGGCCCGCTTACGAGGGGCTCGGGGTGGGGCCAGCAACACGCTCGGCCGCCTTCGTCCCGCCCCCCCCCCCCCCCCCCCATTGCCGTTGGCACCAGGTACTCGTGTTAAGGCCGAGGCGACCTAGGGGAGGGGCCCATGACCGGTTAAGATATATCCGCCGCTGTTATTTGCCGTGGACGGTCACGTCCAAATGACGTGGGGGGCTGCGGGCGTAAAGAAACGATCTTCAAATCGAACTTGCGATCTGTGCGCTTACCATTGAAACGATGGCGAGAGCCGGAGAGATGCCCATGGTGAGGTAGCACACCAGCTCGATCAGCTTATACCTGCAACGAAGAAAGAGGGGCAGGCACGTGTCAGGCCCCGTGGGCCGGCCCCGTGGCGAATCAACGGCAGCCGCGCAGGCAGTTTTTAGGTTTCGCAGCCCCGCGTGGCGATGTCGTGTGGCACGTGGTGGCGGTGACAGAGCCACGTGGGGGGGGTGAGACGTCCACGTGGTGGCGGTGACACAGCCACGTTGGGGGGGAGGGGGTGAGACGTCCACGTGGTGGTGGTGACACAGCCACGTGGGGAGGGGGGTGAGACGTCCACGTGGTGACGGTGACAGAGCCACGTGGGGGGGGGGTGAGACGTCCACGTGGTGGCGGTGACAGAGCCACGTGGGGGGGGGGTGAGACGTCCACGTGGTGGCAGTGACACAGCCACGTGGGGGGGTGAGACGTCCACGTGGTGGCGGTGACAGAGCCACGTGGGGGGGGTGAGACGTCCACGTGTTGGCAGTGACACAGCCACGTGGGGGGGGTGAGACGTCCACGTGGTGACGGTGACACAGCCACGTGGGGGGGGGGGGTGAGACGTCCACGTGGTGGCAGTGACAGAGCCACGTGGGGGGGGCGAGGCGTCCACGTGGTGGCGGTGACAGAGCCACGTGGGGGGGGGCGAGGCGTCTCACAACGCTGTGTAAAGTCAACGCAGCGGTGCAAGGCGAAGGGTCACGTGGCGCGAGAAAGTGACTCGGGGATTGGATCCCGGAGCCACTGCCGCGGCCACAAACGGAGAAAAGAATCGGAATCTCTTTATTTAGGCTCGAAGAGGAATCCGATGAGCTAAAAAAACTCTGTCACTAGTAGGGGCACGGGGTCAGAACGTCACAATAACAAACAAGCAAAGTATAGGAAAGGTAAGAAAAAAATCACTTTACAAATATACAAATGAAACTAAACTATTTTATTTTACCAAGTAATAAGCTATCAGCTTATTTTTCAGAAGCCACCTGGCCGCTAATGATCGCTCAACAAAGCGACTCATCGTCATCGTGTGGACAATTAAAAGCAGCAGCCAAATACTTTAAACGCACGTCGATTCTCAAATGTGGGAAGGAAAAACCAGAGGACCCAGTGAAAAATCCACGCGACCACCGGGAGAGAGAGACACGCAAACTCCAAATATACAACAGGCGTCAGGATCAAACCCATGACCTACCAGGCAGAGGTAATTAAACATCTCACCACCGCGGTGCCCCGTGAGTCGCCACCATGTAAGAACTTTTCTTCGTCGCGATACAATAACTTCATTATCCCGGGATATCAGTTTCCCATACCTCCGCACCATCGTAATGCAGAAACCCCGATTGTGCCGCGTTTGAACTTTGCCCCATTTCCGGTACGGTGAACTGCCGCTGGCTCTACGGGAGGCTGCCGTAAGCCCCTCCCCCGAGCGCGCAAACTAAATCGTCCGGTCGCGGCGCGTCGCTGTCGATTTTCACTCGCCGAAAAACGAGCTTTTGCGCTCCGCGACACACCACGGCTGTCGGGGACGTCACGTGACAACCCAGAGACGTCGCTCGAGCCGTCGCGCCCAAGTGCGATACGGGGAAACAAAGCGGTGGCGACGGTGGCGGTCGCAGGGGCGGTGGCGGCCGCCGTGCACCCGAGACACTCTGCGGAGGAGGGAGGGGAGGGGGGGGACAAACGCACCGGCCGTGGAACATGAAGACGAAGAGCGCCCCTGAGCAGGCCATGAGCCACACGACCCAGCGCATGTGAGAGGCCCACGGGCCCAGCTCACGCAGGAAGAGCCTGCGCAGGAGACGGACAGAGAGAGGGAGGGAGGACGGAGCGCAAGCGTGAGGGGGTGGCAGCACACGCGACTCCTGCCAAGCGAAAAATCCGCTCCTCCCCCCCCTCCCCCCGAGTAAGACCACACAGACTGGTCGGGGCAAGTGCCGTTTAGTGAGCAGTGTTCGTATGGTGCTGGCCACCCAAACCCCGCTCGTGTGCCGTGCCAGCCTTCACAGGCGCTACTCGCCAAACAGCACTTGCCCCCAACAGTCTGTCGAAGGCTATATACGGGGGAATCTTTGTCTTTGTACGTTAAACTTCTTTCGCGCCGTACGTAGCCACCCGTGCCAGCTGGAGGCGTGCCACGGCACACAAAGGGGCGGGTGGCCAGCACCACGCCCGGACGCCTTTGTCTCCCGAGTGGAGGTGCTTACACACCGTACCGTTTGAGTCGACCGAGGGGAGGAGGCCCCCGGGGGGCACTGGCTCAGACATAATCGTCACCGACGTTGGCCGTGAGCGTGAACGGAATCAGAATCTTTATTTCGACTGCAGGGGGAATCCGATGAGCTACGAAGCTCTTTCTCGCAGATGTCCAGTGCGGGCCGGGTCAGCAAAACGGAACTCGGGCCGCCGGGCTCACAGTGCAGTGCCAACCGCGGCGCCACCGCTCCCCGCGGGCAATTCACACACGGACGCGCGAAGACACATTGGGGCAGTGGAACAATAGATATACACACAGGAGGGGGGGGTACGAGGGGTGGGGGGGAGGGGGCGTGGGGAGCTGGGGGCCACGGGTAACCGAGTGCACCCACCAGGGCGTGTAGGAGGCAGCGGTGAAGAGGTAGATGGCGACACGGTCACAGATGTGGAAGCAGTGCTCCGTTGAGCTGCGGCGGGGGGGCGGGGGGGGGGGACAGCGCAGCGGTGAAGCGGAGTCGGGTGAGCGGCGAGGCCTCGATGGCTACGCGGCGCTCCACGTGACGCGCCGCCGCTGCAACGCTACAACAACGCGGCGCTTCTCCCATTCGTGAACACCTTTTGGTACAACGCAGAATGCGCGGCTGAGCGGAGTGATACACGGTACGCAGAATGACACAGTGACGCGATGGCGGCATACTCATCGTGCGTAGTAGTACGTCGCATCTCGCCAAAATTTATCGCGGCTACATCATTATTTACGAGGAAAGAAATTCAACTCGAGACGGGCATCAGAACGGCCGAGATGAGATGGCGACGTAAGGCGCTTTCAAGAAGCCGCACGTGAATAGTGACACACGGCCATGCAGCCTGGCATGGTCCTGTGTCACCGGCGGGGTCCAGCGGGGACCGGCTGGGACCGGCTGGGACCAGCGTAGACTGGCAGGGAACCAGCAGGGCACTGGTGGCGCCGACTCACTGGTAGTGCCGCCCCTTCCAGGCATAGGTGTGGTAAATGGTGGACACGATGAAGAGGCCGCAGAGGCCCAGGCCGTACACCCACGCCGTCACCTGCTCCAGGCGCTCGTCCGACAGGCGGTGTAGCGCGGCGCTGCCCACGATGCTCGGCAAGATCCACAGCTGAGCGGCGAGATCCACGGCGGGGGAGGGATGGGAGGGAGGGAGGGAGGGAGGGAGGGAGGGAGGGGTGACAATGACGACACGGAGACAGGAGGTGGGAAGAATAATTATAATCTCATTTGAAACCACGGTAGCGAGATGTTAAATACCTCGCCGGGTATGCAGGAGGTTCGTGGGTTCTAACCCGACCTTTGACGCCTGCTGCTGCTGTATATTTCGGAGTTTGAGTCTCGCTCTCTCTCTCTGTCTCTCTGCCCGTCGTGGCGCGGATTCTTCTCCGGGTCCTCCGGTTTTTGCCCCTCCACATTTATAATCAACAATGTCGCGCGTTCAGTGGATTTGACTGCCATACATTTCCCACGTGATGATGATGATGAAAAGCCCACTTCGTTGAGCTATCATTTGTGATGGCCAGGTCGCTGCTGCGAAAAGAGCTCTATAGCATCTCGGTGGTGTCTTACCTGGTAAAATAAAATAGTAGATTGGAGTCTGCATGTTCTCCCCTTGGTCGTGTAGATTTTTCTCCGGCGGTCGTCCGCTTTTTCCATCCACATTTAGACTCAACGTGCGCATTTGGCCGCTGTACATTTGCAGCGGTTGCACCGCCCGCACGCCCCTCAGCTGCACCGCGGTGGGTGTAGAATGAGGTGGTGGGGGGGTTACTCACGGCGTGGGTCGCGCAGTTGGCGGCGTGCTCGTACTCCGTGGGCTGGTACCGGCAGTTCGGCGGCGGTCGGTGGTTCATGAACCTGCACGTCCAACACGGGCAAACGCGAGCAACGCGTTTGGTCCTGGCGGGCTGACCGCTGCGCCCCGCCACGAACCCGCCAGGACCCGAGTTCGATTCCCGCCTTCGCGGCCAACACCGGTGACGATTATCCGAACCGGCCCTTGCGCCTCCCCTAGGTCGACTCGGCCTCAAGTGAGTACCTGGCAGCGGCGTGTAAACATCGCCCCCAGGTGAGTCCCAGGTGTGTCCCAGGTGAGTCCCAGGTGTGCCAGCGAATTTTCGGAACGATAAAAAAGAACCGCACTATTCGCTCGCATGCAAGGACAGACGAACTGCAAGACCCGACCGTGTCCACTTCTTGAGAACTGCTTTTTGTGTGTTCGTTTGCCGTCCTTCCCCCGCACCTCCGATTAGCACGGTTTGCTGCGTTCGGTAGGAAAAGGAGTTCAACACGCATACATACAACTCTCCTCCGTGCCGTTCAGTGGCCAATCCAGCCGCCGCCATCCCCAACTCCTCCTCCCCCGCTACCCCCTCTCCATCGGTCACCGCGTAGCGAGAGCCGCAAGAAGGCCCGTCAGCCACCACCTCTGAAGTATAGGTCAAACGTCCGCCGCACAGCGTTTCCCACGCCACGCACAGCCGCTTGCTCGTTCAGTGAAGCCACTCTCGCCTGCGGTGCACACACATTCGGCTGTTCGCGGAGTCGCTCACGCGCGCATTCATGCGTCCATTCAGTTTCCGCTTCGCTCTTCACGGGAGGCGAATTACTCGGTTCGCTGACGATGTTGGGGGGGGGGGGGAGTCCGTGTACAGTACACGTGCAGCGGTTAGCAATGAGGAACCTTGGAGTGTGCCCTCTCTCCGAGTGAAACTAATTCAATCCACGTGACCTCGTTTTCCAGGATACGAATAATTTTTCTTTTCCGCGTCTCTTTTATATGTGACCACAATCTGGGCCAATAATTAAGCCAATTTCCAGCTGTCTAAAGCGATCAAGAACACCATTAGGGTTAGATGTTCAACGATCGCTCACAACAAGGCTATGCGTATCAGATGTGTGTGCCGTGTGTCATCATAGGTCGACTCAGCCTCAAACGAGTACCTCGTGCGGTGTGTGAACAATCGCCACTGGGGAGACAAAGGCGGTCGGGAGGCCGTGGTTCTGGCCACTAACCCTCTCGTCTACCGTGGCGACCATCACATACCTGTCAACCCCTGATCAGTGCCCTACCTTATTGCAGACCAATTAAAACCTTATTGGTCATCCTGTGCCCTTCTAAATCTCAACGTTCATCCTAAAAAGTCCTATCACAAGGAGAGAAATACAAAGAAATAGACCATTTTTTTTGCCCGCATTAAAACGGCCGTACGCCGTATGGACCTGAAAACTCAATTTGCCTGTACAAGAATACGGGGTAAGCCGTATGGGTTGACACGGTATGGACATCATAGGTGCTCGCGAAACAGCACTTGCACCAAAACAATGTTACGGCTACACGGGGGATCTTTGTATTGTACAACACAACTTTCGCCATAAAGTGCCGGCGGTCCCATCACAGCTCTTGTGCCAGGCTAGGTGTTGGTAGGTCACGGGATAAGCTCTGCACAAGGAACACTACCACCACCAACACCACCACCAACACCACCACCACCAACACCACCACCAACACTACCACCACCAACACCACCACCACCAACACCACCACCAACACCACCACCAACACCACCACCAATACACCACCACCAACACCACCACCAACACCACCACCAATACACCACCACCAACACCACCACCAACACCACCACCAACACCACCACCAACACCACCACCAACACCACCACCAATACACCACCACCAACACCACCACCAATACACCACCACCAACACCACCACCAATACACCACCACCAACACCACCACCAACACCACCACCAACACCACCACCAACACCACCACCAACACCACCACCAACACCACCACCAACACCACCACCAACACCACCACCAATACACCACCACCAACACCACCACCAATACACCACCACCAACACCACCACCAACACCACCACCAACACCACCACCAACACCACCACCAACACCACCACCAACACCACCACCAACACCACCACCAACACCACCACCAACACCACCACCAACACCACCACCAACACCACCACCAACACCACCACCAACACCACCACCAACACCACCACCAACACCACCACCAACACCACCACCAACACCACCACCAACACCACCACCAACACCACCACCAACACCACCACCAACACCACCACCAACACCACCACCAACACCACCACCAACACCACCACCAACACCACCACCAACACCACCACCAACACCACCACCAACACCACCACCAACACCACCACCAACACCACCACCAACACCACCACCAACACCACCACCAACACCACCACCAATACACCACCACCAACACCACCACCACCAACACCACCAACACCACCACCAACACCACCACCAACACCACCACCAATACACCACCACCAACACACCACCACCAACACCACCACCAACACACCACCACCAACACCACCACCAACACCACCACCAACACCACCACCAATACACCACCACCAATACACCACCACCAATACACCACCACCAATACACCACCACCAACACCACCACCAATACACCACCACCAACACACCACCACCAACACCACCACCAATACACCACCACCAATACACCACCACCAATACACCACCACCAATACACCACCACCAATACACCACCACCAACACCACCACCAACACCACCACCAACACCACCACCAACACTACCACCAACAACACCACCACCACCAACACCACCACCAACACCACCACCAACACCACCACCAACACCACCACCAACACCACCACCAACACCACCACCAACAACACCACCACCAACACCACCACCAACACCACCACCAACACCACCACCAACACCACCACCAACACCACCACCAACACCACCACCAACACCACCACCAACACCACCACCAACACCACCACCAACACCACCACCAACACCACCACCAACACCACCACCAACACCACCACCAACACCACCACCAACACCACCACCAACACCACCACCAACACCACCACCAACACCACCACCAACACCACCACCAACACCACCACCAACACCACCACCAATACACCACCACCAACACCACCACCACCAACACCACCAACACCACCACCAACACCACCACCAACACCACCACCAATACACCACCACCAACACACCACCACCAACACCACCACCAACACACCACCACCAACACCACCACCAACACCACCACCAATACACCACCACCAATACACCACCACCAATACACCACCACCAATACACCACCACCAACACCACCACCAATACACCACCACCAACACACCACCACCAACACCACCACCAATACACCACCACCAATACACCACCACCAATACACCACCACCAATACACCACCACCAATACACCACCACCAACACCACCACCAACACCACCACCAACACCACCACCAACACTACCACCAACAACACCACCACCACCAACACCACCACCAACACCACCACCAACACCACCACCAATACACCACCACCAACACCACCACCAATACACCACCACCAGTACACCACCACCAACACCACCACCAATACACCACCACCAATACACCACCACCAACACCACCACCAATACACCACCACCAATACACCACCACCAATACACCACCACCAACACCACCACCAATACACCACCACCAACACCACCACCAATACACCACCACCAACACACCACCACCAACACCACCACCAATACACCACCACCAACACCACCACCAACACCACCACCAATACACCACCACCAACACCACCACCAACACCACCACCAACACCACCACCAACACCACCAATACACCACCACCAGTACACTACCACCACCAGTATACCACCACCAGTATACCACCACCAGTATACCACCACCAGTACACTACCACCACCAGTATACTACCACCACCAACACTACCACCACCAATACACCACCACCAGTACACCACTACCAATACACTACCACCACCAACACCACCATCAATACACCACCACCAATACACCACCACCAGTACACTACCACCACCAACACCACCACCAATGCACCACCACCAGTACACTACCACCAGTACACTACCACCACCAGTACACTACCACCACCAGTACACTACCACCACCAGTATACTACCACCACCAACACTACCACCACCAATACAATACCACCAATACACTACCACCACCAGTACACTACCACCACCAGTACACTACCACCACCAGTACACTACCACAGTAAACGACCACCGCCAGAACACTACCACCGCCAGTACACTACCACCACCAGCACACAACCACCACCGGCACACAATCACCACCGGCACACCACCACCACCAGTACAATACCACCACCGGCACACCACCACCGGTACACCACCACCACCGGTACACCACTACCAGTACACTACCATCACCAGTACACTACCACCACCAGTACACCACCACCAGTACACTACCACCACCGGTACACTACCACCACCGGTACACCACCACCACCGCCACCGGTACACCACCAATACACTACCACCACCACCAGTACACTATCACCACCACTACACTACCACCACCAGTACACTACCACCACCACCACCAGTACACTACCACCACCACCAGTACACTACCACCACCGCCAGTACACTACCACCACCAGTACACTGCCACCACCACCAGTACACTACCACCACCACCAGTACACTACCACCACCAGTACACTACCACCACCACCAGTACACTACCACCAGTACACTACCACCAGTACACTACCACCACCAGTACACTACCACCACCAGTACACTACAACCACCACCAGTACACTACCACCACCAGTACACTACCACCACCAGTACACTACCACCAGTACATTACCACTACCAGTACACTACAACCACCACCAGTACACTACAACCACCACCAGTACACTACAACCACCACCAGTACACTACGACCACCAGTACACTACCACCACCAGTACACTACCACCACCACCAGTACACTACCACCAGTACACTACCACCAGTACACTACCACCACCAGTACACTACCACCACCACCAGTACACTACCACCACCAGTACACCACCACCACCACTACACTACCACCACTAGTACACTACCACCACTACCAGTACACTACCACCACCACCAGTACACTACCACCAGTACACTACCACCACCAGTACACTACCACCACCACCAGTACACCACCACCAGTACACTACCACCACGACCAGTACACTACCACCACCAGTACACTACCACCACGACCAGTACACTACCACCACGACCAGTACACTACCACCAGTACACTACCACCAGTACACTACCACCACCAGTACACTACCACAACCGCCAGTACACTACCACCACCAGTACACTACTACCACCACCAGTACACTACCACCACCAGTACACTACCACCACCAGTACACTACCACCACCACCAGTACACTACCACCACCAGTACACTACCACCACCACCAGTACACTACCACCACCACCAGTACACTACCACCACCAGTACACTACCACCACCAGTACACTACCACCACCACCAGTACACTACCACCACCACCAGTACACTACCACCACCACCACACTACCACCAACACCAGTACACTACCACCACCACCGGTACACTACCACCACCACCGGTACACTACAACCACCACCAGTACACTACCACCACAACCACCAGCACACTACCACCACCACCAGTACACTACCACCACCAGTACACTACCACCACCACCAGTACACTACCACCACCACCACACTACCACCACCACCACCACACTACCACCACCACCAGTACACTACCACCACCACCAGTGCACTACCACCACCACCAGTACACTACCACCACGACCAGTACACCACCGTCTTACCTGTGCCTGTTGTGGACCAGCTCGTGGTAGACCTTCATCATGAGCGCCACGCACGTGTGCAGGCGACCCTTCTTCCCTCGGGCGCTGTCCATCGCAAAACCCACCCCCAGCCCGCTCCGAATCGCCGAATCTCGGGGTGGTGGTGGTGCTGACGGTGGTGCAGGTGGTGCTCCTCCGTGCGTCCGTCCCTCACGCGAGCCTAACGCAAATCCGTGACCACCACCACCACCGGCCACAACCACCGGCCACAACCAACAACAACCACCGACCGCCCAGTGAGTGCGGTGGCGACTTGGGATGTCACAAAACGCCGCCGCGCGAGGTGCGAGCCGGCGACGTGGCCAAGGTGCTGTCGCCGTCCCCTCAAGTCCAGGCCACCACCACCACCAGCACCACGCCACCAGCACCACACCACGTCACCACCACACCACACCACGCCACCACCACGCCACCAGCACCACCACCACCACCACGCCACCACTCTCCACCCCGCGACGGTCACCCCTTTTATCGGCTGTCGCCCGCAGGAGTTGAACGCAACAGTTGCGTTCGGTAGAGCCGAGGGGGCGCGCGTCCAGTCGGTAATGGATGGAAGCCGCGCGTGGTGGTGGGGGGAGGTGGTGGGGGGGAGGTGGAGGGAGGTGGTGGGGGGGTGCACGGAGAGGCGCCTTGTGATTGGCCGGGGACGGTGGGGGGGGGAGACGTGGGGAGTGCTTCTCATTTCCTCTGCTCCGGGGATTCAACCCCGCCCACAGACTCCCTCCCCTCGCTCCCTGCCTCTCTCCCCTCGCTCCCTGCCTCTCTCCATCCTTCCTTGCCTCCCTATCTCATTCCCTCCCTATCTCTCTCCTTCCTTGCCTCACTATCTCATTCCCTCCCTCCCCTCGCTCCATGTCTCTCTCCATCCTTGCCTCCCTATCTCATTCCCTCCCTCCTCTCCCTCCCTGTCTCTCTCCATCCTTCCTTGCCTCACTATCTCATTCCCTCCCTCCTCTCCCTCCCTGTCTCTCTCCATCCTTCCTTGTCTCCCTGTCTCATTCCCTCCCTCCTCTCCCTCCCTGTCTCTCTCCATCCTTCCTTGCCTCCCTCCTCTCCCTCCTTGTCTCTCTCCATCCTTCCTTGTCTCCCTGTCTCATTCCCTCCCTCCTCTCCCTCCCTGTCTCTCTCCATCCTTCCTTGCCTCACTATCTCATTCCCTCCCTCCTCTCCCTCCCTGTCTCTCTCCATTCTTCCTTGTCTCCCTGTCTCATTCCCTCCCTCCTCTCCCTCCCTGTCTCTCTCCATCCTTCCTTGCCTCACTATCTCATTCCCTCCCTCCTCTCCCTCCCTGTCTCTCTCCATCCTTCCTTGCCTCACTATCTCATTCCCTCCCTCCTCTCGCTCCCTGTCTCTCTCCATCCTTCCTTGCCTCCCTATCTCATTCCCTCCCTCCTCTCGCTCCCTGTCTCTCTCCATCCTTCCTTGCCTCCCTATCTCATTCCCTCCCTCCTCTCCCTCCCTGCCTCTCTCCCTGCCTCTCTCCATCCTTGCCTCACTATCTCATTCCCTCCCTCCCCTCGCTCCCTGTCTCTCTCCATCATTCCTTGCCTGCCTATCTCATTCCCTCCTTCCCCTCGCTCCCTGTCTCTCTTCATCCTTCCTTGCCTCACTATCTCATTCCCTCCCTCCTCTCCCTCCCTGCCTCTCTCCATCCTTCCTTGCCTCACTATCTCATTCCCTCCCTCCTCCCCCAGTCGCCCATCCACGTCGTGTTCATAATTCAGTCCGTGCCCAGCACTGTCGCAATTCTTCTCAGAATCCCAATCCTCATATTCCGGACAAATCCCATGAGCTTCGACGTTCATTGAAGGCCACTCACCCGAGCTGCCCCATCCACGCATTCACTGCCCCTGCGTTTAATCGCAGGCACTGCGGATAATCTACAACAATAACGTGGTAACCTCAGGTTGTTTTCAAATAGGTATATAAATCATGCTATCTCTCTACACACACACACTGAGCGCACAAATATATAGCCAACAAACCTCTGATCTGGCAACATTTACCCAGGGAACACCCCACCCACTATGCAAGACACAAGGCCATCAAATCACAATAAAAACACACACAAAGTTCCCCCATGTAGCCTGTAACAGACTGTTGGGGCAAGTGCTGTCAGCGAGTAGCAGCCTATGAAGGCTACCGGCACTGTGGCACACGAGGGGGTGGGTGGCCCAGCATCACGCCCGGCCGCCTTTGTCTTCCCGGTGGCGATGTTTATGACGAAACGCACCAGGTACTCATTTGAGGCTGAGCCGACCTAGGGAAGGCCCTGGATAGGTTCAGATAATCGTCACCGGTGTTGGCCGTGAGCGGGAATCGAACTCGGGTCGGCCGGATTCGTAGCGCGGCGCGCTAACCGCTGCACCACCGCTCCACACACAAAGACAAAGATCCCCCGCGTAGCCTCGAACAGACTGTTGGGGGCAAGTGCTGTTTGCGAGTAGCAACCTATGAAGGCCACCGCTCAGCGCGCGCGCGCCCGCACACAACAACCACAACAACAAACAACAGCAATTGGAGTAACTGTGTCAAATGTCACTCATCAGAGAAACACACCCGCCCTGAAACCTCGTGACCGCCTCGCCACCAATCACACGCCGGGCACGTGGCTTCGACGATGGCGCGACACGCCTGCAACAACACCGGGCGACTGTGGGAGCCATTCATTGGTAGGGGGTGGGGGTGGTGGTGGGGGAGCGGTGGTGCAGCGGTTAGCGCGCTGCGCTATGAACCTGAGTGACCCGGGTTCGATTCCCGCTTCACGGTCAACAGCCAGTGACGATTATGTGAGTGACCTTGTGGGTGACCTTGTGGGTGACCCTGTGAGTGACCCTGTGAGTGACCCTGTGGGTGACCCTGTGGGTGACCCTGTGAGTGACCTTGTGGGTGACCCTGTGAGTGACCTTGTGGGTGACCCTGTGAGTGACCTTGTGGGTGACCCTGTGAGTGACCTTGTGGGTGACCCTGTGAGTGGCCAGACGTCGTGGTATGAGAATCTAAGCGGCGAAATGCGCACAGCAGACACCGAGCTGGAATTAATTTTAGCCGCGCGCGGCTAACAATGGCTCTGGCTGTCCTGTAGGGCTTCGGTGTTCGAATTCACTAGATTTTTTTTCCATTTTATTTGAGGGACGTGATACATTTTTAGGAGGGCAGAAATGTCGTAACCGTTGGACAGCAGATAATAATTATATAGCCACGCCGCCCAGCGCAACGCAGTTGTGCAATCCAGAGGGTCGCCGGTTCAATCCCAATTCGGCGCGCGGGTTGAAACAGTGGGAGCGAGTTTCTTCAATCGGCCTCTCGCAACATCACCAACGCCACCACCGCCGTCTCTCGGCACCCAAACGGCTTCGCCACAATCAAGTCGCACCGCAAGCAGGCACGCACGCACGCGTGGTGGGGTAAAGAGCGTGGCCACTGAGATTCCACCGTGATCGCTGTACGACCGATGCTCGGGCTTTAACAAACCGGGCGCTCTCGTAACGGTTACCGGTTTCGCGAACGACCCTCGAAGCTCGGAAGGAAATTCCCACGCGGATGCGGCACCGTGAATCGACGTCGCAATGGAACGTGTCGAAAGTGGCCACCCAGGCGTGGGGAACAGGCGGCAAAGGGGACGTCCCTCTCTGCTTCCAGTCTCGGCGCGAGTTCTGTGAGCGCGATGCACGGATGGAGGTCACCGTGGCAAGCCTCGGAGGGTTTGGGTGGGGGAGGATTGTGGTGGTGCGCGTGGCAGGCGCAGGGAGCGGTTAGCGCGCAGCGCAGACGATCCCAGGCGACCCGAGTTCGATTCCCGCTCGCGGCCAACACCAGTGACGGTTATCTGAACCGGTCCTGGGTCTCCCCTAGGTCGACTCAGCCTCAAATTGAGTACCTGGTGAGGTGTGGAGTAAACATTGCCACTGGGGAGACAAAAGCGGCCGGGCGTGGTGCTGGCCACTCACCCTCTCGTGTGCCGTGCCGGCCTTCATAGGTGCTCGCTAACAGCACTTGCTCCTACAGTCTGTCAATATTATAGGGGGGATCTTTGTCTTTGGATTTTGAACTTATTTCGCACCGTACGTAGCCAACCGGGCTAATTGGAGGTGCCGGGGAAGGACAATAAACTAAAACACAACAAGCAGTTCTAAAGAAATGAGTTTTCAATCTAGATGATTAAAACGTCCATAGCTCCAGTGGCTTCATAATATCGGGAGGAAGCGCGTTCCAGACGGCTGCGTGGTGTGGCTAGCAGCACGCACGGCCCTCCGCCTTCGCCTCCCCAGTGCTGATGTTTTACACACCGCACCAGGTGCCCATTTAAGGCTGAGTCGACCTCGGGGTGGCCCAGCACTGGTTCAGAGATTCCTCATTGACGTTGGTCGTGAACGGAAAGCGAATTGCACGGGGCTCTCCGGGACTCAAGGAGCTTGCAATAAAAAAACAAATACAGACAGTTTAACATGTAGTAGGCTTAACGCGACCAGTACAATCCATAATAGAGGTTTTTGGGTTAGATCGCGTAAATATGCGTCGTTAAACCCGCCACCACCCGACGCAGCCAAATTAGTAAACTTTGTCACGTAAGCAAAACATGCCAATTCGTGACCGGTGTGTTGGAGCGTAAACCCACAAGTACAACAAGAGGTTTTACCCTTTCTGGCAATAAGATGTTCAAACACCAAACAGAAACCTTTTGCAAGAAATCATGTCTGCATTAACCGCACGTACTGGTGGAGAACATGCAAACAAAAACACGTGATGGTAAAACTTGGGCAGTGTTTTGAAAACTGATTGGTCTACACCAGAGAGAGCCTTATTTGGGGCCTAGTCTCAACCAGTGTTAGACCAGAGAACAACGCCAAAAGGCGAACAGCACCAAAGGCAATGATGCCACTATCGGGGATTTATAGCTCGGGGTGAGCAGCTTCAACATGATACCTTTCCTGCCAGTATCAAAGTACACAACATTTACAATTCTTTAGACAAAAAGCCAGACGATTTCTCCACACTGGCGAAATGTCACGATACTCGAATTGTTCATTTTTGTAGCGGGTTTACTACCTAACACACCGGTGTGTTGAACTAGTAACGAATCGGCACGTTTTGTTCACGTGACAAACCTTACTAATTGGCTGTGTCGGGCGGTGGCGGGTTTAACGACACACATTTATATATTCAAGCGATCTAACCCCGAAAAGCCTCTTGAGAATAAATCCAGACATTCTCAATCCACCGCTGCACGACGAAGGCCTCCCCATGCCACGTTGGTCAACGCGGGCTGTTGGTTTTTTTGTTGTCGAACTTTCAGCGCGATGGTCAAGGGCGACTCGTTCACGTGACGTCACAACCCTCGTGGTTTGTCTCAGAGCGCAATGCGTTTCGGAGTGAAATTCGACGGCACGCGCCACCGAGAGATTTGTCACGTTCGAGAGGTGTTTATATTCGCCTCCCGTCGAGGGACCTGCAGTTCATGAAACCTTTGGACGCGATCCGTTTTTTTTTAATTCGTAACGGAAATGCGGCAAAGTACAAGGCGAGATCGGGGTGATACGATGGTGCGGAGATATGGGAAACTGATATCGCGGGAT